GATCCCAGCAGGGGAAAGGGCTTTGTTGTCAGGTTTGTGGTTCGGTCCGGGGGTTCGGTAGGGAGTTGAGAGGGGTGCAGGTGAAATGTTGAACCGCTTCCCTAACTCCTCTGCGTACTTAGCCGCTGAGAGGTGAATGGCCTCAGGTGCGTAGGAGATGTTGAGGCCTAGGAACTGCTTCACCTCGTAGTTGCACGTGATGTCGACGCGCCCCGCCAAGGCCTTCTCGAACTGCTCGAGAAGCTCGTTGTTTGAGCCTGTGTACAGCAAGTCGTCGACGTATACCGTGAGGAGAATATATTCGCCGCGGAAGTCGCGGCGGTACTGTCAACGAGAACGGACTGGAATGATGAACTAGCAAGGATTGTGAGTACAAATATGAAACCCTAATGTTGTGACCCCCCCTATAGGCTAACCCACTACAGCCTACACAAATACAACATGTATAATGTTTGACACACCCCCATAGGCAAAGTGGGGGAGACCTAGGGGTCACAAGACCAGTCAAGGCAAAGCAAGGCAACAACAAGCTCAGGGTGGATCTCAAGGATTCCACACAAATTCCGAGCACAAGCTAGTGGTCACAAGACCAGTTCACATGCAGGTTTATAACAGAGCAAGAGATACAGTGATCACAACCTAGCAAGAGTAAACATGCAGGTATAGATATATATAGTGATCACAGTACAAGCAAAGTCAAGAGGTAAGTAAGTGAGGTCCAGTAGGCACAAGGCCTAGTAGAGTGCAGAAGCGCTGATGGTCACGAGGCTGAAGCGCCTTGGTGGCCACGTAGCGAATACAAAGCTGACCGCGCTGCTGCAGCTCACGAGCAAGGAAGTACCGCAGGGCGATGTGCTTCGTTCTGTGCTCCAGTCTGTGCTCCTCACACAAGGCAATGGCAGCCTTGTTGTCGACGTACAGTACTGGAGGAGAACGTGTCAAACATTATATATGTTGCTGTTGTTAGGCTAGAGTGGGTTAGCCTATATGGGGTACACAATTCTAGGGTTTGCTATTTGTACTGATTTCTCTGTTAGTTCAATCATTCCAGTCTTGTAATTCTTATTGACATGGTTTCAGAGCAGGTCCTTCGCTAGGACCGTTCTTAGGGCCCACCACTGACTACCTACCTACCTACCTATCTACTGTCGGAGCGTCGCGTTAGCGCCTCCCCCTCAGCGCCCTCGTGCGCCCTCGTGTAGAGCCCCTTAAGGCCCCGTCGACCCCGCGCGCCGCCCCTTAGTGACCCGCGCGTCGCTCCTTAGAGGCCCCGTCGACCCGTGCGCGCCCCGCTTAAGGCCCCGTTTGGCCCCGTCGACTTGCCCGCGGCCCGCTTAGTGGCCCCGTTTGGCCCCGTCGACCCCGCGCGCGCCCCGCTTAGAGGCCCCGTTTGGCCCCGTCGACCCGCGCGCGCCCCGCTTACGGCCCCGTTTGGCCCCGTCGACCCGCACGCGCCCCGCTTACGGCCCCGCTTGACCCGTCGACCCCGCGCGCGCCCCGCTTAGAGGCCCCGTTTGGCCCCGTCGACCTACACGCGCCCCGCTTACGGCCCCGTTTGGCCCCGTCGACCCGCGCGTGCCCCACTTACGGCCCCGCTTGACCCGTCGACCCCGCGCGCGCCCCGCTTAGAGGCCCCGTCGACCCTATCCGCCGCCCCAAAGCGGCTCCGTCGACCCTACCCGCCGCCCCTACCCGCACCGCACGCGACAGCCGCGGCCCCGCCAGCAACAGGCCGCCCGAACCGAGCCGCCCAGTCCGAGCCGAGCCGAGCAGCCAGAACCGAGCCGCGCCGCCCGCACTGAGCAACTTCTCTGGACCGAGCCGCCCTACCTGCGTCGCGCTGCCCACTGCGTTTAGGACTCACTTACTGCTACTGCTACGGCTACTCCTACTGCTTCTATGGCTACCCCGCCTGTACTAGCTTTCGATGCTGAGGGCCGCCCAGTGAAGTTTGATACTTGGCTTGATGACCTGCACCTCTTCCTACAGCTCACTGCCAAGGAGGATATCTCACTGTATGACCACGCCCTCGGCCATGCTCCTGCCCCTGCTACTGATGCTGACAGCACTACCCGCTCACAGTGGCAGACTCGTGACGCCCACGCTCGCTTTGCCATCCGCAACTCCCTGCCGTTAGATGAGCGCGAGCACTTCGGCCAGTGCAAGACTGCTAGAGACCTCTACACCGCTGTAGTTGCCCGTTACTCCTCACCCGCTTCTGCTACGCTAGGCCGCCTCACTCTTCCCTACCTGTTCCCCGACCTAGCCTCCTTTCACACTGTCGCAGACCTCATCACCCACCTTAAGACTAGTGAGGCCCGCTTTCGCGCTGCTATGCCTGCCGAGTTTCTCACTAGCAACCCCCCCCCGCTCTGGATCACTCTCTACCACATCGTCACCCGCCTCCCTGACTCTCTGCGCGCAGTCAGGGACCACTTCCTCTCTCGCTCCCCCACTGAGCTCACTGTTGCCCTCCTCGAGAAGGAACTGCTTGCAGCTGAGGCGAGCATCGTCGCTGTAGGCACCTCTCGTGGCGACCCCCGCACCCCGTTCTTCGAGGGGTGTTCCCCTTCCCCCCTCCTCCCCTCTGTCGCCTCTGCTGCTGCTGTCGACCTCCTTGGTGCTGAGAAGGTCGGGACCGCGTCTGCTTCGAGCGGGCGCCGCAGGGGCAAAGGGGGCAGGGGCGGGGGTGGCGGCGGAGGAGGTGGGGGTGGAGGCGGTGGGAGTGGAGGCGCGGCTGAGGAGGCTAGTGGCGGTAGTGGGGGAGGCGACAGCAGCGGCGGGAGTGGTGGCAGGGGCGGAGGCGGCAGCGGAGGCGGAGGTGGTCGTGGTGGCGGCAGGGGTGGAGGTGGCCGGGGCGGAGGCGGAGGGGGTGGTGGTCGTGGGGGCACTGGCGGAGGGCAGAGTCAGCAGCCAGCCCCGACGCTTCAGGCCGCCCGTGAGTGGTATGCGCAGCGTGGCTTTACCTGCACGTACGTCATTCGCACAGGTGACCGCAGCGGCCAGCAGTGTGGGAGGCCGCACCCCACGCAGCGCTGCTTCGCGCGCCTTACCGACGCGTGGCGCACTCAGTTTCCTGCTGCCACTGAGCTGCCGCGCTGGGCTGATCTGGAAAAGAGGGGTGTTGATATTTGGGCTTTAGACTTTGATGCTATTCTCACTGCCATGTATGCGATGTCTATTAGTGGAGAGGGTGCTCAGTACTTGCGTGTTCCGCCCGACCCGGGCATTCAGGCCAGTCCGGCTGCCGCTCTAGGTGCTAGTGCGTCCGCTCCCGCAGGTCCTAGTGAGGCTGCTGCCCTAGGTGCTAGTGCGTCTGTGCCCCCTGGTACTGAGTCGACTGCAGCACTGCACACCTTCACACTGGACTCAGGTGCTTCTCGCTCTTTCTTTCGTGACCGCACTGTCCTTGAGCCCCTCGCTCGGCCAGTTGCTGTCTCCCTTGCTGACCCCTCTGGGGGTCCGGTCATTGCGACCTCCTCCACTGTCCTTCCTTGTCCGGCGGTCCCGTCCGGCACGCTGTCAGGTCTCTACCTCCCCTCGTTCTCTACGAACTTGGTGGCAGGTAGTGCGCTCCAGGACGGGGGTGTTCACCAGTTCACCCCTGCCTACGAGCGCGTGACACACTGCACGTGTGCTCGGACGGGTCGCCACCTGGCTACCTTCACTCGGGAGCCGGGGTCGGACCTTTACACACTGACCACTGTGTCCCCTCAGGTAGCTGCGTCTGCGTCTGCGTCTGCGTCTGCGCCAGGTCAGCTGTCAGCCCCCTGCTCGTGTCGCTCTCTGGCACATGAGACTGTCCTTTGGCACCACCGCCTTGGTCACCCGTCTGTGCAGCGCCTTCGGGCCATGCACTAGCGGGACCTTGTTGCTGGTCTTCCCAGGGTGCTCCCTCCCCTTCCCGACTCGCCTGCTCCTCCCTGTATTCCCTGTGTCGAGGGACGGCAGCGCGCCGCTCCTCACTCCTCCTCCTTTCCCCCGACGACTGCCCCCTTGCAGACGCTCCACATGGACGTGTGGGGCCCAGCCCGCGTCCGTGGTCAGGGTCAGGAGAGGTACTTCCTGATTGTTGTTGACGACTTCTCGCGCTACACCACGGTCTTCCCCTTGCGCGCCAAGGGTGACGTCCCTGATGTCTTGATCCCTTGGATCCGCAGATCTCGTCTCCAGCTCCGTGAGCGTTTCCGCTCCGACTTCCCTGTCCTGCGTCTGCACTCTGACAGAGGTGGGGAGTTCTCCTCTGGCCTATTGGAGGCCTTCTGTCAGCAGGAGGGCATTAAGCAGTCGTACACGCTTCCGGACTCGCCACAGCAGAATGGGGTTGCTGAGCGCCGCATTGGTCTGGTCATGGAGGTCGCTCGTACCTCCTTGAGCCATGCGGCTGCCCCCCATTTTCTGTGGCCGTTTGCAGTCCGATACGCTGCGCATCAGCTCAACCTCTGGCCCCGTGTCTCTTTGCCCGAGACTTCTCCGACACTGCGTTGGACGGGAGAGGCTGGCGATGCGTCGCGTTTTCGGGTCTGGGGATCCCGAGCTTTTGTCCGCGACACGTCCGCGGACAAGCTCTCCCGTCGCGCTGTCCCCTGCGTCTTCCTTGGCTTTGTCCCGGACGCCCCTGGTTGGCAGTTCTACCACCCCACCTCGCGGCGTGTCCTGGCCTCTCAGGACGTCACTTTTGACGAGTCCGTCCCCTACTACCGCCTCTTCCCCTACCGCACTGCCCCGCTCCCCCCCCCGCCTCTCTTCCTCGCTCCAGGTGCTGATTTACCAGACCCCCTCCCCCCTCAGGGTGCCGCTCCCTCAGGTGTGTCCCAGGTAGACCCGGGTGAGCCTGTCGAGGTAGCTGTTGACTCTCGTCCTGCTAGGGGTGCTGAGCCTGGGGGTGCTGCGTCTGGGGGTGCTGAGCCTGGGAGTGCTGAGTCTGGGGGTGCGGAGCCTGGGTCAGCAGGTAGGTCAGCCAGCGTAGCTCCTGGGCAGCCATGGCTGTAGCGTAGATCTCAGCCTCGCAACTGGAGCCGAGAACAGAAGAAGAGCGTGTAGAGCGCCAAGAAACTGAGCCAGAGCCAAGGCTGAAGGTGTAACCCTGAGACGACCGCTGAGTGGCCTGGTCGTCTGCCCAAGAAGCGTCTGAGTGCCCTGTGAGAACAACTCGGTCTCGCCCTCCAAGCACAAGCCCCATGCCCGACGTACTGCACAAGTAGCGCAACACCCTCTTAGCGGCATCCATGTGCTCCTTCCTGTGACGGCCAGGAGCGACATAGCGTGCAAGGATGCTAAGAGGGTATGCAAGGTCAGGTCGAGTGCAGGTCATCAGGTACATGAGGCAGCCCACAAGCTCTGGATACGGGCCACTCGGCTCTACGGACTCATCCGAAGGCAGAGCTGAGAGCGAGTGACCGGTAGGCAGAGGAGTGGACTGAGGCGAGGAGTACGTGAAGCGGAAGCGCTGGAGAACCTGCTGCACCATGTGTAACTGAGTCAGGGTGATGGTGCGCCGTGCTCTGTCCCGGGTGATCCGCAAGCCAAGATAGCTTGTCAGCTCACCCAGGTCTGTGCACGTGTGTCTCCTCTGCAGCTCCGACTTCACGTAGGCGAGTCCTGCAGTGTCAGCAGTGGCAAAGACCAAGTCGTCGACGTACACGAGGATGTAGAACGGCGGCAGCAAAGTGTCGGTGCGCAGGAACAGCGACGGGTCAGCTGTAGAAGGCGCAAACCCAAGAGCCGCAAGTGTAGTCCTCAGTGTGTCGTGCCACTCACGCGGAGCCTGGCGGAGACCGTAGACCGGCCGCTGAAGCCTCCACTGGGTACCAGGAGGAAACGACCCAGTGAAGCCAGGTGGTCGGCGCAGCCAGATCTCCTCGTGCAGGCTGCCCTGCAAGAAAGCAGTGCTGAAGTCAAGTGAGTGAAGCTCGTAGTCGCGGTGAGCGGCTATGTGCAGCAGCACCCGAAGAGTAGTCATCTTCGGGGTGGGGGAGAAGGTCTGGAAGAAGTCAACTCCCTCTCGCTGACTGAAGCCTCGAGCCACGTAACGCGCCTTGAAGACAGGCGGAGAACCCGGCGGCCGCTTCACCCTGAAAATCCACATGCCACTGACGATGTTCGCCCCAGGAGGGGGAACCTCGTCGACGTAGGTGCGTGTGGACTTCCAGGAAGCCATCTCGGCGTCCATGGCTGTCTGCCACTGAGAGGAGTAGGGACCCGCCATCGCCTCAGCGTAAGTGCGCGGGGTCGGGATGTCTGGTGCATCCGGGTCTCCCTCAGGGGCAACTAGCAAGGACACGAGACGGGGCAAAGCAGCAGCAAGACACTGGAACTCCTCCTGTCTGTCCTCAAGGACGTCCGTGCCAAGAGCACACTCACCCCCGACGGACGGAGGACAGACAGACTCAGACTCAGACTCAGCAACAAGGCTAGCAGCGTAGTCTAGACGACAGGCAGCAGCAAAGTCAACCAACTCAGCGACCAGAGCAGACGCAGCCGAGGACTCAAAGGTAGGGTCAGTGACAACAGTAGCGAGGAGACGCGTGACAGTAGGGTGCTCAGCACGATACCGGTCAGACTCAGGGGCCGGAACGTCAGGCAAAGAGGACGCAGGAGGAGACGGTAGAGGGACACGCTGAGGAGCAGTAGAGGGACGCAGAGTCATGTAGTGAGTGCCTGGGACAGGAGGAGGACGCTCACGACGGACACGACTACTAGTGCGAGCAGGACGAACAGGCGACGCAGGACGAGACTCAGGCTCACGACGCTCTGTAAGACCTCCTGTGGGACCAGTGTAAGGAGAGGGAGCAGGGAGAGGCGAGGTAGGCGGTAACAGTGACTGCGGCTGGACAGGCGGAGGACACTCTACGGAGGGAGGAGGACAAGGAGGAGGAGCCTGTCCAAGAACCTGCTGAAGGAGCGGTACGAAGTACGGTCGCGGCCGCGCAGCGTCTCCAGAAGCAGAAGAGACTCCAGCGGCCGGGTCCTCAGTACCAGTAGGAGCTCCAGCGTCCGGGTCCACAGCACCAGCAGCAGCTCCACCGGCCGGGTCCTCAGCACCAGTAGGAGCTCCAACGCCCGGGTCCTCAGCAGCAGCAGCAGCGCCACCGCTCGGGTCCTCAGCTCCAGCAGCAGCTCCACCGTCCGAGTCCTCAGCACTAGCAGCAGCTCCACCGCCCGGGTCCTCAGCACCAGTAGAAGCTCCAACGTCCGGGTCCTCAGCACCAGCAGCAGCGCCACCGCCCGGGTCCTCAGCTCCAGCAGCAGCTCCAACGTCCGAGTCCTCAGCACCAGCAGCAGCTCCACCAGGCGGGTCCGCAGCACCAGCAGTAGCTCCAACGTCCGGGTCCTCAGCACCAGCAGCAGCGCCACCCCCAGGGTCCGCAGCACCCGGAGCACCACTCCGAAGACTGCAGCGCCGTGTGTACCACTCGCGGATCTGCTGAATGGGGGGGAGCTCCCGGGTAGGAGGGGAAGTACCGGGACGAGCTCCAGCAGCACCTCTCCGGAGGCGGCAGTACTCGAGGTACCTCTCCTGCAGCTGCTGGGAGGAGAGGGCTCCTCCAGGTGTAGCACGCTCAGGCTCAGCACCCCCGGACTCAGCACCCCCAGACTCAGCACCCCCAGGCTCAGCACCTCCAGGCTCCGCACCTCCAGGCTCCGCACCCCCAGACTCAGCACTCCCAGGCTCAGCACCCCCAGACGCAGCACCCCCAGGCTCAGCACCCCTAGCAGGACGAGAGTCAACAGCTACCTCGACAGGCTCACCCGGGTCTACCTGGGACACACCTGAGGGAGCGGCACCCTGAGGGGGGAGGGGGTCTGGTACCTCAGCACCTGGAGCGAGGAAGAGAGGCGGGGGGGGGAGCGGGGCAGTGCGGTAGGGGAAGAGGCGGTAGTAGGGGACGGACTCGTCAAAAGTGACGTCCTGAGAGGCCAAGACACGACGCGAGGTGGGGTGGTAGAACTGCCAACCAGGGGCGTCCGGGACAAAGCCAAGGAAGACGCAGGGGACAGCGCGACGGGAGAGCTTGTCCGCGGACGTGTCGCGGACAAAAGCTCGGGATCCCCAGACCCGAAAATGCGACGCATCGCCAGCCTCTCCCGTCCAACGCAGTGTCGGAGAAGTCTCGGGCAAGGAGACACGGGGCCAGAGGTTGAGCTGATGCGCAGCGTATCGGACTGCAAATGGCCACAGAAAATGGGGGGCAGCCGCATGGCTCAAGGAGGTACGAGCGACCTCCATGACCAGACCAATGCGGCGCTCAGCAACCCCATTCTGCTGTGGAGAGGCCGGAAGCGTGTACGACTGCTCAATGCCCTCCTGCTGACAGAAGGCCTCCAAGAGGCCAGAGGTAAACTCCCCACCTCTGTCAGAGTGCAGACGCAGGACAGGGAAGTCGGAGCGGAAACGCTCACTGAGCTGGAGACGAGATCTGCGGATCCAGGGGATCAATACATCAGGGACGTCACCCTTGGCGCGCAAGGGGAAGACCATGGTGTAGCGCGAGAAGTCGTCAACAACAATCAGGAAGTACCTCTCCTGACCCTGGCCACGGACGCGGGCTGGGCCCCACACGTCCAAGTGGAGCGTCTGCAAAGGAGCAGTCGTCGGGGGAAAGGAGGAGGAGTGAGGAGCGGCGCGCTGCCGCCCCTCGACACAGGGAATACAGGGAGGAGCAGGCGAGTCTGGAAGGGGAGGGAGTACCCTGGGAAGACCAGCAACAAGGTCCCGTTTGTGCATGGCCCGAAGGCGCTGCACAGACGGGTGACCAAGGCGGTGGTGCCAAAGGACAGTCTCATGCGCCAGAGAGCGACACGAGCAGGGGGCGGACAGCTGACCTGACGCAGACGCAGACGCGGACGCAGCTACCTGAGGGGACTCAGTGGTCAGTGTGTAAAGGTCCGACCCCGGCTCCCGAGTGAAGGTAGCCAGGTGGCGACCCGTCCGAGCACACGTGCAGTGTGTCACGCGCTCGTAGGCGGGGGTGAACTGGTGAACACCCCCGTCCTGGAGCGCACTACCTGCCACCAAGTTCGTAGAGAACGAGGGGAGGTAGAGACCTGACAGCGTGCCGGACGGGACCGCCGGACAAGGAAGGACAGTGGAGGAGGTCGCAATGACCGGACCCCCAGAGGGGTCAGCAAGGGAGACAGCAACTGGCCGAGCGAGTGGCTCAAGGACAGTGCGGTCACGACTCAGTACCAGGGGGCACGGACGCACTAGCACCTAGGGCTGCAGCCTCACCAGGACCTGTGGGAGCAGACGCACTAGCACCTAGAGCGGCAGCCGGACTGGCCTGAATGCCCGGGTCGGGCGGAACACGCAAGTACTGAGCACCCTCTCCACTAATAGACATGGCATACATGGCAGTGAGAATAGCATCAAAGTCTAAAGCCCAAATATCAACACCCCTCTTTTCCAGATCAGCCCAGCGCGGCAGCTCAGTGGCAGCAGGAAACTGAGTGCGCCACGCGTCGGTAAGGCGCGCGAAGCAGCGCTGCGTGGGGTGCGGCCTCCCACACTGCTGGCCGCTGCGGTCACCTGTGCGAATGACGTACGTGCAGGTAAAGCCACGCTGCGCATACCACTCACGGGCGGCCTGAAGCGTCGGGGCGGGCTGCTGACTCTGCCCTCCGCCAGTGCCTCCACGACCACCACCCCCACCGCCGCCGCCCCGGCCACCTCCACCCCTGCCGCCGCCACGACCACCTCCGCCTCCGCTGCCGCCTCCGCCACCACTCCCACCGCTGCTGTCTCCTCCCCCACTGCCGCCACTAGTCTCCCCAGCCGCGCCTCCACTCCCACCGCCTCCACCCCCACCTCCTCCGCCGCCACCCCCACCCCTGCCCCCCTTGTTCCTGCGGCGCCCGCTCGAAGCAGACGCGGTCCCGACCTTCTCAGCACCAAGAAGGTCGACAGCAGCAGCAGAGGCGACAGAGGGGAGGAGGGGGGAAGGGGAACACCCCTCAAAGAACGGGGTGCGGGGGTCGCCACGAGAGGTGCCTACAGCGACGATGCTCGCCTCAGCTGCAAGCAGTTCCTTCTCGAGGAGGGCAACAGTGAGCTCAGTGGGGGAGCGAGAGAGGAAGTGGTCCCTGACTGCGCGCAGAGAGTCAGGGAGGCGGGTGACGATGTGGTAGAGAGTGATCCAGAGCGGGGGGGGGTTGCTAGTGAGAAACTCGGCAGGCATAGCAGCGCGAAAGCGGGCCTCACTAGTCTTAAGGTGGGTGATGAGGTCTGCGACAGTGTGAAAGGAGGCTAGGTCGGGGAACAGGTAGGGGAGAGTGAGGCGGCCTAGCGTGGCAGAAGCGGGTGAGGAGTCTCGGGCAACTACAGCGGTGTAGAGGTCCTTAGCAGTCTTGCACTGGCCGAAGTGCTCGCGCTCGTCTAGCGGCAGGGAGTTGCGAATAGCAAAGCGAGCGTGCGCATCACGGGTCTGCCACTGGGAACGCAGAGTGCTGTCAGCAGACGAGTCAGGGGCAGTGGCATGGCCTAGGGCGTGGTCGTACAGTGAGATATCTTCCTTGGCAGTGAGCTGTAGGAACAGGTGCAGGTCATCTAGCCAGGTTTCGAACTTCACTGGACGGCCCTCGGCATCGAAAGCTAGAACTGGAGGACTAGCCATAGTGACAGTAGCAGTAGTAGTAGTAGCAGTAGTAACAGTAGTAGTAGGAATCAGGCCGCTGGAAAGGTGTGCGGAGGGTCAACGGGGCCGGCGGGGCCGCTAGGCAAGGCGCGGGCGGGGTCGACTGTCCGTAGTGGCACACGAGCGGCAGTAGTAGGTAGCGTGGCAGCAGGAGCTGCAACGGCGCACTGGTGGCAGCTGCAGTGGCAGCAGTGTGCGCGGTAGGTAGAAAATAAACAACAGTGAGAGCGAGTGCCTCGCGGGCGGCGGCTGCAGAAGCGCACGGGCGGCAGCGGCGCACGGGCAGCGGCAGCGCACGGGCAGCGGCAGCGTAGGGGCAGCGACGGCGCACGGGCAGCGGCGGCGCACAGGCAGCGGCGGCGCTCGGGAGGCAGCGGTGCGCAAGCAGCAGCGGAAGCAGCGGCGTACGAGCGGCTGCGGGCAGCGGGGCGTGCGCGAGCAGGCGACGGGCGGCTGCGGGGCGTGCGCGAGCAGGCGACGGGCGGCTGCGGGCGGGCGGCCGCTGCGACGGCGGGCTGCGGGCCTGCGGGGCGTGCGCGAGCAGGCGACGGGCGGCTGCGGGGCGTGCGCGAGCAGGCGACGAGCGGCTGCGGGGCGTGCGCTAGCAGGCGACGGGCGGCTGCGGGGCGTGCGCGAGCAGGCGACGGGCGGCTGCGGGGCGTGCGCGAGCAGGCGACGGGCGGCTGCGGGGCGTGCGCGAGTAGGCGACGGGCCGCGCGCGAGGGAAATAAGGCGCGCGCGGGCAGCAGGCGGGGCGCACGTATGAAAACGACCGCGCGCGAGCGGCTAAGGGGCGGCGCGACGGGGCCTTAAGGGGCGGGTCGCGGGTCGCGGGATGTAGGGGCCGTTAAAAAAAAATTCGAGGCGCCCTAGGTAGGTAGGTAGGTAGGTAGGGAACGGTGGGCCCTTAAAAAAAACGGTCCTAGCGAAGGACCTGCTCTGATACCATGTCAACGAGAACGGACTGGAATGATGAACTAGCAAGGATTGTGAGTACAAATATGAAACCCTAATGTTGTGACCCCCTTATAGGCTAACCCACTACAGCCTACACAAATACAACATGTATAATGTTTGACAGGTACATCCCTGGGTCGTGCGGCATCTGCTTGAACCCGATTTCAAGCAGGATGTTGTGCAGGTACTGCTGCCACAGCCTCGGTGCCTGCTTGATCCCGTAGAGTGACTTGCGCAGCTGACACACGTGCGTGTCTCCTTCACCGTAGGTGTGTGGCTGCTCCACGTAGATCACGGCATCTACTAACGCGTACAGGAACGCGTTCTTCACGTCGATTTGACGGAGTGGCAGGTGCCTTGCAGCTGCGATGGCGAGCAGGATGCGGACGGAGGTGTGGCGGCTGACTGGGGCAAATGTCTGGTCGAAGTCGATCCCATGCCTCTGGTCATAGCCGCGAACCACCCAGCGCGCCTTGAAGCGCTCGATCGTTCCATCCGCCGCGGTCTTCACGCGGAAGACCCACTTCCCCGAGAGGATCCTTGCGCCCTTGATTGCTGCGCGGTCGACGAGCACCCAGGTGTCGCGTGACTCTAGTGCCTTGATTTCCGCGTCCATCGCCTCGCGCCACTCCTTGCTGTGTGGTCCAGAAAGAGCTTCCCGCGGGTTTCGTGGCTCGATGATGCGCGGCGCTTTCGAGGTTGCAGCGTGGAGTCCGAGCAGCTGCAGCCCCGAGACGGTGCTGTCGTGGCGACGTTGCGGGATGACTTCCTGCACGTCATCGTCGTCGCTTTCAGGTTCAGGTGGTGCTGGTGGTGCTGCGCCTCCGCCGCTTCCTCTCGTTCCGCTTCCGCCTGCTCCGCCAATTCCTCCTCCCGAGGAATCGTCGTCGTCGTCGTCGCTGCTGCGCCGATCCTCCCACGCGAATTCCCCCCTTGTGTCCTGCTCCAAGATTGCTGCAGCGGCTTCGTCTTCAGGCGTTGCGTAGCTGTGGCCATTGTTGGCGTAGACGCGATTCGCGTTCGTTTCCTCGTCGCGGCGGAACTGGTCGAGGAAGAGACGCTCGTAGAAGATTACGTCGCGAGCATGGGCGGTCTTCTGGCTGAGGAGATCCAGGATGATCCACGCCTTGTATTCGTGACTGATGCCGAGGTGAATTCCCCAGCGCGCGCGACTGGCGAATTTGCCGATGGTTGATGTCGGCGGGCGGTATTGGACCATGCATCCCCATACGCGGAGCATGGAGGTATCTCCCTTGGTTCCTGTCCACTTGACGTGCGGGGACAGGTTGCCGGTAATTGCGGTGGTTGAAAGGAGGTTGTGCACCCGTACGGCGTGGTGCATCGCGTAGGTCCAGTAGATCGGCGGCAGCTTTGACTGCTTCATCAGCGCGCGCACCTTCGTCATCAGCGTGCGGTTCGTCCGCTCAGCTACGCCCTGCTGCTGGTGCGCGTAGGGAAGGGAGATGTGGTGCTCGATCCCCTTTTGCGCCAGGAATGTCTGCATCTGGTTGCTCCTGAATTCTGCTGTGCCGTCGGACTGCCAAATTTTGAGCTTCTTCCCAGATTGCCGCTCCGCGTGCGGCAGCCAGAGGCGAAATACCTCGTAGGCTCTGTCGCGCGACTCCACATTCACGACCCACACGTAGCGTGTTCCAGCGTCGATGAAGGTAAGAGTGTATAGCTCGTCCTCGACTCCGCAATGCCCCACGTTCAGGAAATCGCTGTACACCTTGTGCAGCTTGGGGTAGCGGTTGGTTCCAGGTTGGGGAACGGTTGGTGGCTCAACGCAGCTTCGGGGCAGACGGTGCAGTTGCGCGGATGTGTCGTGCCGCTCACTTCGGAGCCATCAGGGCGTAGAATTGCGCCAGGCGCGAAGACGCCAGCGTCGATGCAGTTTTTCAGCGTCGCGCGGGAAGGATGTCCGAGGCGCTGGTGCCAGAGTGCATCGTCAGCGCGAAAGCCGGAGGTGCGCATATAGCGCGCGCGCGCTTCCTCAGGGTCTTCGTCAGGTGCAGGAGCAGGTTCCGCTGCTACTTCCTCTGCTTCTTCTTCTTCTGCCGCGGTAGTCAGCATCAGTGCCAAGAACTCTCTGTCGCGAATTTCAGAGAGCGGGATGTTAGTCCCAGGGATGGTTCCAGGGACGAAAGTAAGCTCGCGTGGCTCAGGGGCAGGTCCGTAGACGGTGCGACGCGGGGTTGACGGCTCGTTGCCCCAGATGATGGTGTCCCACGGGTCGCGATGCGGGGGAATGTCTGCAGGAGGTGGTGCGAGCGGGATGTGGCGCGGGGGACGACCGAGAGGAACGACTGCAGGTGCTGCTTCGGTTTCCTCAGCTTCGTCCTCTTCCCCCCTTCGTTCTTCGCAAGAAGTGCCCCAGCCGCTGTCTGCGGCGGTAGGTACGGCGCCCCATCCGCCGCTCGCGTTGGCCCAGGTTCCGCCGGTGTTGCCCCATCCGCCAGTATCACTGGTTCCCCATCCTCCAGCGCTTCCCCACCCCCCTTCATTGGAGGCACTTTCTTCCTCCTCGGCTCCCCAGGCGGCGCAAGCGAAGGTCCCGCGTGCTTCCGCGAGGCTTTGCTGGCGAAGCTCCTTGGATTCGCGGCGCGCCAGTTCTTCCTCTTGCTCCACGGTGAGTTTCGCCGAGGGGTCGAGCCGATGAGGGTACACCTTTCGGAATTCCTCGAGAGTGTAGGGGCACGGAACTCCTCGTGAGTCCAAGCTTCCGCGGCGTTGTCCGCGCAGGATGTTGTCGAGCCGCTGGGAGGGAGGTCCATTATGGGGGCTGTGGTCGGTGCCGAACACGCGGCGAGTAGTCTCCTCGACCTCGAGCTGCGACATCCCTTCTTCTGGTGGCGCGTGGCACTCTGCTTCAGCGATGGCGGCGAGTCCGCGGCCCGCAATCGCGCTTGTTGAGGTCGTCGGCGTGTGGCAATCCCTGCATATGCCGTCGGGGTCGGGGTTGTGTAACGCCGTTTCGCGTGGGTGAGGATGGTGTGGCACCCACGGCCTGCCGTCAGGGTGCTTCCAGTCCCTGCGGTGGATGTGCTCGAAGCGTAGTGGCACGAGGTCAATCAGCTCGTGCGAGTCGCCGCTGCAGTCGGGGATGTCGAAATCCAGGATGTACACTCCATTTTCGGAGTGTGCTCGTCCGATCTGCCTGCGGGGGAAGTTGCGCGCTTCGTAGTGCAGCAGGATATCTCGCGTTTCGCGGTCCGTGCTGAGGTCGACGCCACATTCCATGAGCTGTGCGGCGGACAGAAGGTTGAAGCGCAGGTTCTGGACGATCAGCACATCGTTGAGCGTGATGTGCGTGCGGCTCCCGCGTGCCTTGAGCACGACGATGCCTTGCGCGCTTGCGCGCAGGCGCGTGTTGTTCGCCACAGTGACGTAAGTGACGGCAGGGGTGGCGACGGCGTTGGATATGTAACGCTCGGAGCCCACCATATGCTGGCCGCAGCAGCTGTCCAGGTACCAGGTGTTGTAGCGCTTGTTGTCGTCACGTGCGAGCAGCGCCAATCGCGGCGTGACGATGTGCGGAGTGTCGAACTTCAAAAATTGTTCGCGCGTGAGCCAATCGAGTGGCGCCACCCGCATATCAGGTACGTGCGGGGGACTTTCAAGCAGCGGGACTGGAAGATTCCAGTCCTGGTCGTCGTCGTCGGTGAAGTCGCGGCGCGGACTAAACGGGTTGTTGTTGGTGAACGCGCCAATTGGGTGCGGTGCCGGCTCAGGTGACGGTGAGCGAACGCGGCGACGACGCGACTCGCCTGTCATGGCCATGCTGCTCATGACGTTGCGAACTGGGGCAGTCGAGGACGGCTGCTGCTGCTGATGCTGAACCGCTGGGTTCAGGTTGCGCGCGAGAGGGGGCTGATACCCTTGGGCTGGACGCACGTCGCCTCGTGCGTCTTGACGGCCGGACCAGGTGCTCGGATTGGTCTGGCGAGGGCGAGATCGGTTCTTGCATCGATCCGCCAGATGCCCGAAATTTCTGCAGATCTTGCAGTAGAGGCGCCGTGGCTTTCGCTCTTCGGTGTTGTCGGCGTAGAAGGCGAGCCGTTCGCGTTCTCGTCGCGGCGCTGGTCGCTGCTGGTCCATATCCCTTTGTTCGACGAGAAGGGCGGCGCAAAGGGCGGCCTCCGAGATGACCCCCTGCTGTCGGAGAAGCGCCTTGCAGGGCCGCCACTCTGGGCCGAGCCCTTGAAGCACGATGTTGACGAAGATTTCTTCTGAAATCGTGCTTCCCAACTTCACGATTTGATCGCGAAGGCTCCGACAGCGGTTAAGGTAATTGTTGACCTTCTCCCCTGCGGTCATCTTAGTTTCCAGGAGTTCCTGGAGTAGTCGGCTCGAAGAGACAGAGTCCTTGGGCTGGTAGACTCCTGTCAGGTGCCGCCAGGCGTTAAGGGCTGGAGCAGCTGTGGTTTTGTATGAACGAATGTTGAGCTGCTCCGCCGCCGACATATTCCGCAGGAGCACCCCGTACGCCATCAGCGACTCGTTGTAATACCGCGCCTTGGCGTCGTCGGTGTCCTCAGCAGGCTCCGCGTAGCTCCCGTCGAAATAGTGGAAGATCTGGGCGTTCTGAAGCAGGAGCTCCAGCTCGAAGCTCCAGGTGTAAAAGTCTCTGCCGTCAAAACAGGTACTTGTCTTTATTTTTGATATGCTGAGAAACCTTGATTGAGCGGAGAGAATTGCCTCTTCACTGGGACGGGGAGCCTTGGGGGTTGAGCCATTGGTGTCGAGGGAGAAAGTTTGCGGGGTGGCGTTCTGGCCAGTCGGGGCCGGTTGAGAGGGTTGCGAGGATGTTCCCGCATCGCCATTCCGCAATGTTTGGAGCCCTTGCTCCAAGCTGGTGAGTCGCTGAAGAAGTTGTGCGAGAACTTCGGAGTTGATTGTCGTCGTGTTCTCGCTTGTCGCAGCCGGGTTGGGTTGCGCTTCAGCCGTCAGATTAGTCTGACCACCAGATCCTCCGGCCATCTTCACTCGTGAACATGTGCCAGACGCCACTTTCCGAATGTCGCAATTTTCGGGAGTGGCAGTGCGAAGGATTCCCGAGCCGCTCTGATACCATGCTGCGATCAGAAGTTGATCGTAGCCAGTGCTCTGGTTATCAGACAACTTTGGTCTGATTGTCTGATTTTCAGACACGATTTTTTGTGTTCATATGATTTTCCAGACCAGTCATTTATGTTCGTATGATCTCTCAGATAAAGCATTTTGGTTCATCTGAAAAATAAGACTAAGGGCTTATAACTCGTCTGAGTACTCAGACAGAGAGTATGTTTCAATCTTGAAACAGACAAGTACTGAAGCCAGCTCGCACCTGCAGTTCGGTAAAAAACGTTGACTATAAAGTTCACGCAAGTTCCTACCTGCTGGATTTGACTCAGTCCGTAGTCAATTTTCCGTTATGGTGAAGGGCAGGGTACGATTCCTGCTGTTGCACAGTATGTTCGGAAATCTAATATAGTTTTTGTCTGGAAATTCAGACACGTGTTGATGTTTCATCTATAAAATCAGACCACCCGAGTTTGCTCATATTTCCTTCAGACGAAAAATTTTCTCGTACTTTCATTTCAGACGGGCCAAAAACCTAGCCAGAGCCCTGATCGTAGCCCAGGATCTACCCGGGAAGGTTCGCACGCAGTGAGATGGTTTGGTGGGCCCTTGACCTCAATAGCAGAGTGAATGTAAAATGCTTTGAGATAAATAAAACATGCAAACAAGGTGATATAAATAAGAGTACAATGGAATACGAAAAGACCTAACTAGTCATGTACTCTAAGGGGTACATTCCCTTATTCAAATGCATTCCCAACCGTGCGGCGCGTACAGTTTCGTAACTGTTCCCGCCAAAACCACCTTGCCTGCCGCTGCCCGATGCCGTCTGCTCCGACGGTCCAGATGCGTCCCAACTGTCTGACGCTTCGAGTCAATTCCAACCGTCTGACGCTTCGCGTTCATTCTCGTTACTGCGTGCTTCTCTTTGCTGCGGTGAGGAGTGCACAGTAATATCAAATGTTACTATTCGTAACACCATGTTGGGCTGAGATAAGCCCTTAGGATCTTTTCAGGGGTGAACTCTGGGTAGGAACCTTGTAATAGCGGAAGCGTTTAATGAAGAGTTTGTGAACCACCTTGCGCTGGTATGTGAGGGCAAAGTAGATTGATTATAGCAAGGAAGTACAAGATTATATAATAGTACAAGGAATATGAAAAGATACGGTTATAACTACTTTTACTGTTGCTGTTGCGGTTCGATACAGTACGACTCGGGCAACTGCTCTGTAACGAGTCAGTTGTGTGTCCTTAACTGTCGCGCTGTATTTGTCAGGTCAAAGGTCGCTTGACCTTTGACTTTCGCGTAACCTCCAGCAACCTCTCAACCTCCGAGGGTTGACTCGTGCTTGCTTCGGTATTGTTTACTTCACTTCTGGTGCGATGTTTCGACACTACTGAAGCGCTTAAGTTTCACTGTTTCCAACAATATACGCCTCCTGCAGAACCTGCTGCTCTCCGCCTGGCGGGGGGAGCCTGCTGCTCTCTGCCTGGCGGGGGGAGCCTGCTGCTCTCCGCCTGGCGGGGGGAGCCTGCTGATCTCCACCTTCCGGGAAAACCTGCTGCTCTCCGCCTGGCAGATGGGGGCGGCGGCGCTCATGCGCTCACGACTGTTACGCGCCACCACCATTTTCTCCCCCAGGCAGCGGCTCCGTGAGGTTATCCTCCCCCTCACCAATCACGCCGGCCCCCACGACGACCCCATTCACAAGGGAACCAGTCAGGACTTCCACTTTCACGCTGGTCGTTGGCACCTGGACGGAATTCGTCGGCGCGTCGGACTCGAGGGAGAGGGCCTTGAGGGCCAGATTGCGCCGATGGGAGACGAACCGCGAGTACGCTGTGCAGAGAAACGAATGGACATCGTTAGTTTTCAGTATGAAAGCGAGGTTTCGCACTTGTATCAATCAGACAGGTATCGGCTGAGTAACGCCCGAAGCGCGTATGACGCACGAATGACAAAAGATCATGCGTCGGAAGGTTATCGGAAATGATTGGCATTGCGGAAAATGATTATCTCGTAATACAGCCATGTGCACCACAATCCCCGAGAACATTGAATCCCCTTATAACGAGGTTCGAGCCTTACCAGGAGTGACATATGCTGATGCTAGAAGGAGCGCCAACAGAAGCAGCGTCACTAGCGCACTTCGTGCTGTCCTAGCCATTGCGTCGCTCCTCAGTTGCTGACCTTTTGACAGAAGTGGTAATCTTGCGGGGGCGGAAGCTGTTGGTGAGCAGTGAGCACACGGAATTCAGGGAATGAGACAAGGCCGTTGGGAAAATCGCGGGAGTGTAGCTGCACGATGCGGGCGGAGGAGGCGAGTGCTTCTGTGGAAGTGTAGGGGGAAGGCAGCCCTCGCGGGTTTCTTCGGGAGTGCTGGGGTTTTTTTCGCCAGATAGGAACGAGTGAGCTGCTGGTTCCGCCGCACTCATCGCAAGGTTCGCAAGGGTGCGAAATGCGTAGACGATTTTCGTCAACATCTCGTGCATCGTTCAGTTTTAATGGGGAATCAAGTTTGGAAATCGTCAGATGATGGTTACCGAATGAAGCCAGGTGCGTGGTCGAATCGCAGGTGCAAACGATGCCCAGGGAGCGGACGAGCCCTGAAACACTCCCTTCTTGAGAGACTTCAGGGGGTGCAATTATGTTAGGTTTACTAGCGCAGTAAATAATATATACAACTATGGCCCAACAAGTATCTCCAAAAAAGGTAAATATCAGAGCGAGTGGATATAGATTATTCTCCAAATGAAGATATTTTTTATGATTTTCTTATCCTGGAACTTGAACCTGACCCAGGTGTATTCATTTTCCATTATGGATAACGACTATGTGCATCGCATTATTGAAGTGCATTAGAGTAAGCTCCCACACTATAGAGGATCATGCATTGGATGCACCAAACTCGTTTCAGTACCGTACAACATTGGTCAAAAGTCGCCGTTGTTTTGTACTGTACGATTCTGCTGCCTCACTGCTCAAATACAGTATTGGTGGCCTGTTGCGGTTGGTCCGTCAGTTGAAAAGGCTCTGTAAAGCAACTCTCTGACCGTCAATGCCATTTCATCTACAGCTAGTTTGTACATTCCAGAAGCCCGTACAGTTGACTGTACATATGTAGGACGCCCTTTTCGTCTAACGGTCAATTATCCATCATCATCAATAGACATCGTAGGCACCCATGGATTCTGCCGAGCATCACTGTTGTGGGTTCTTCCCGCTTCGCCGTTTCGCTTCTTGGCATTGGGAATCCCGCGGCCATGACAGACCCGAGCCGAGCCACGCCAGCCTGCTCCACTGATTTTGCCGAGCATGTGATGTTTCACGCACGCTCGGCTGGGCCTATGGAGCAGCAGCAAGCCTAGCCAATCTCCGATCTTATCTCTGCTATCCCCCCTCCTCCCCGAAGATTCACTACACAAACCAGCGGACGCGCTTCGGAGTCAGGCACCCCCTCCTCCCCTCTTGTACTCCCCTCTTTCTCCACCCGTACCGTGCACATCGATGCCCCGTCCTTCCGTCCCGACCGAGACCCGTCTTGTGAACGAGCTCCTTTCGTCTCGTCGTGCCTCGTTCCGAGTTCCGTCTGTCCCGACCTAGGTTCGACGCCGTTCGAAAATAGCCAGCTACATGTGTCTCACGTCCCCCACCTTCTCCTCGTAGGGTATCGGCGTCACGCTAGCCGTTTATCGAGAATTTCCGAGTGACGGAGCTAGCGATCCCTCTTCGTATATGTATTTCCGTGTGTCTCTCCGAGCTAGCAAGTCTTAAATTCGACCCCGCGGTCAGCAGTTCGAGGAGAATAACTGCATGCTAGCATATTAACCTTTTTTTTGTCGCGTCTAATTGACAGTCATGCCGCGGTCACGGGAAACCGTTCATTTTTTGCTCCCTCCAGCAGACGATTCTGCTGGCCGGGACTCTCTACCGGAACCCTTACCTGGCGGGCCGTCTCCGACGGCCAGCCGGCCGCCGTCCGGCCCCAGCAGTGCCGCGCCGGTCGTTTCGCCACCTGTGACCGCCGCGTCGTCGCTACCGTCAGAGAATTTCGCCGCTGTGCGACATCGCAGGGTGTCTATGGACCTTTCTAAGACTCCGTCGCCCATGCAATCGACGGGAGCTGGCCAGGTAAGGGGCGACAGGAGAAGGAAAACCCTAAAAGAGCCTTTTAAACAAGCTTGGGCTGGTAAGAACGGGGAGAGCGTCATTATCCGGTTGAGAGCGGCATTAGCCCGTGGAGAATGAAATATGGTGGAGAGCAGCAGTTTTAGCCTGTGAAGATCGGCACTAGTCCGTCAGCAGCGTCAACTGGGAGTTCCCCCCTCTCGTTCTCCTCTTGAAGCCTCCGTTTCGTCAGCACTTCCCTTGTCCCCCTACCCTGGCTTCCTTTCCTGGAGTCCCTACCTCCCCCTCCCCAGGCTGGTGGCATGCGCAGAGGAATCACACGGCGGGCAATCGCAGCTCCCTCCAGTCCATCCTCTTGCCTCCTCCCTTCCTCCTTGCTCCTGGATTCTCGTGGCCCTTACTCGCAGAGGGAGCACGACTGAGGAGCATGATCCACACAACGGGCAACCTCGGCTCCTTCCGTTCCATCCTGTTGTCCCTCCTGCTTCCCCCCCTCCCCTTCCCTCCCCTCTCCAGGCCCCCTTGTTGGCGAGCGCGGAGGGTGCGCGGCTGAAGAGCATGAATCGCACGACGGGCAACCGCAGTCGCGCAGTGCCGCTGCGAAGCAATGATCTCACCATCTCCGCGCCCTCGTCCCGCCTGAAGCATGACCTGCGCCACGTGCACTTTGACTCCAAGGTGATTGGCCTGACTTGGTTTGACTTGTCTTGGATTGAGCTTGCGAGGCAACGACCTCACCATCTCTGCTCCCTCGTCTCGCCTCAAGCACGACCTGCGCCACGTGCACTTTGACTCCAAGGTGCGTTGACTTGATTTGACTTGACTAAACCTGTAACATGCATGCCTTCATCCTCAGATGCACTTTGCCCTGCCTCACGTGCAACCGATGACTCTGCTTTCTAACTCCCGTTTATCCTGGCTTCCCCTTCCCCTCCTCCGCTGTCTCCTCCACCAAATCCCATCCTCGTTACAAGCAGCCTGTGCTGGGCGCCTTGCGAACAAAGCTCGAGTCAGCAAAGGACAAAATGGACGCAGAACTGCGCTGCTTCTGCCTCGACATCTTCCACCCGCTCTCCCCCCTCGCCCTCCTCCCCACACACTCGCCCCTCCTCCTCCTCCCCGCCCACTCGCCCCCCTCGCCCTTCCCCCCCCAGTCCTCCGCGCAGTCCCCCCTCCCCTCGCCTATGTGTCCCTCAGACTCCCCCTGTACCCCTGTCACGCCTGTGCCCAGCATTGGTAGGGGCCCACGCCTAGTGTCGTTTGGCCTGGGAGAAACCAGTTCTGCTGCTGCTGGTGCCAGTAGTGGTGGTGCTGGTAGTAAAGCCGTTGTTGATAGTACTGGTGCTGGTGGCTGTGGGGCTAGTAGCATTGGTGGCAAGACCGATATGAGCAGCAACAGCAGCGGCAGAAGCGGCGTTGGTGGTAGTAGCAGCGGTGGAGGAAGCAGTATCAGGGGTGGGGGGCGTTCGTTCAAGACACCAGAAGCAGTCACGCCACTGCCTCCCTCTGCAGCTGCTGCTGCTGCTTCTGCTGCCGCAGCCGCAGCCGCAACCCCAACCACCACCACCAGCACTAGTACCAGTGCCGTTACCCCAAGCACAGGCAGCATCAGCAGCACAGAATGGGCGGCGGGAGTGCGTCAGCTAAAATCTGTAGCAGAACGCTGTCTTGCCATGTCAGCAGACGATTTTGGGCGGCAGAGTGAGTCAATCGTGCAGGAGCTGAACGCTGCCAGACAAGCCATGCCGGCCGGAAGCCCCCTGCGCCAGCTCATCATGAAGCTGCTTTTTGTCCTGACCCGATGCACTAGATTGCTACAGTTCCAGAAGGAGGGAGGGGGTGTAGGTGGTGGTAGGAACAGTGATGGGGGGGATGGTGGAGAGATCAGGACTAACAGTATGGGGAAAGAAGGGGTGAGTCAAGAAGAAGAAAGAGGAGGAGAGGGGAAAGGAGAAGGAGGAGGGATGGGAGTTAGTAGTGATCCGGGTGGCACTGCTGATGTCAGCACTGCCGGAGTAAGGCGAACAGGGGATGTGGTAACTGCCAGACTGGTTACACCTGTAACACCCGGTGCTAGGACCAGGAGGGCTGAGTTGCATGTGGTTACCAAGCAACCAGACGCAGCCGTGGTGACCAGGCTGTCAGACGGGCATATCCCGGTGGTCTTGGATAAGGTGAGGCCTAGGCGAGTGGTGTTTGGAAGTGATTCACGGTGGGAGGAGGCTTTAAACCTTCAGCGGAGTGGCCATAACGAGGATGAGGGCAGGCAGAGTGGAAGCAAGAGCAGTGCGGTTTGGAGTGGTTTGCCGGAGTTAGGAGGGTGGAGTGATGGATGTGAGGAGCAACAGAAGGATGAGGGAAGGCTCGAGGAAGCAGAAGGGGGAGGAGAAGAAGCAGCAGAGGAGGGGAAAGTTGGCATAGTTAGCAAAGCCCAAGAGGGAGAGCAGCAGCAGCAGCAGCAACCGAGACCCTCGCTACGTTCCGTCCGCTTGCGGTCCAGTTTCCACAGCCCCGAGCACAGGCGAGCAGCTCTAGCTGCTGCTGCCGCTGCTGGTGCCGCTTCTGCTGCAATTGCTGCGACTGGTGCTGCTGCTTCTGGTGTTTCTAGTGCTGCTGTTGGTGCAGCTAGTGGTGCTGCTGCTGGTGTTGATGCTTTAGATGGTGATGCTGACGTGGTTGACCGTGCTGCAGCAGCACTGGCTGCAGCAATCGCAGCAACCTCAAAAACAGCGGGAGCAGGAGCAGCTGAGCTTGCAGCATCAGCAGGAGCTCTGGGCCAATCAGGAAGAAGAACCCCAACGCACACAGACGGCACCACCACCACCACCACTAGCAGCAGCAGGACTCAAGGGAGGCTTGACCACGTGCTCTCACTACCCTCCCTCTCCGCACTGCCCACGCTCTCTTCTCTTCCCTCCCTCTCCGCTCTGCCCCTGCTGCGGCCCCCTCGACCACCGGATGGGAGTGGCAGGGGGCAGGTGGGAGCACAGGAGGCGATGCGTAGTAGAAGCGATGACAGGCTGTCGCCAGCTGGCGGTGAGGTGCCAGCTGGCGTGGTGCCAGCTGGACTGGGTGAACAGTCCCTTGGGAGCGTTGACTTGTTGACCTCTGGGTTGACTGGGTCAGCTCAGGGGTTGACTGGGTCAGCTCAGGGGCTGACTGACAGGCTGTCACCACCTGGTGCTGTAACTGGCGAATCATGGCTCGATTTTACTCGGAGCTGCCCGGAGATGTCTCAGGTGAATCAGCAGGTTCAGGTGAATCAGCAGGTTCAGATGAACCAGCAGGTTCAGGTGGGACGCAGTCGAAGCAGTGAGAAACTGCCACCACCTGGCAGGAGGTTACAGCACTGGGGAGGATCCTTCCAGGAAGGTGCCAGTGCTAGAGCTGCTGCCTCTGCCAATATCCTGAGTGGTGGTGCGGGCATTGCAGCAGACCTTGCTGCGTGGGAGCTGCTGCTGCTGCAGAGGAAGGGGAAGGAGCAGCAGCGGGAAGAGGGGTGGGAGGGGGTGATAGAGGAGCAGTGGAGCCAGCAGCAGCAGCAGCAGCAGCAGCGGTTTCAACGGAAAGAGGACATGGCTGCAGGGTCCCTGAAACCGGGTCTTTCTGCTACTCCTGCTGGTGCTCCTGCCGCTGCTGCCCCAGACAGGGCCCGCACGCCCCCTCTCATCCGCGCTGGCAGCTGGAAAAGAGGCAGCGGCCGGGTGTCCACTTGGGGAGGGGCGGGAGCCTCAGTAGTAGCAACGGGAACAGGAGGGGCGGCAGGGGGGGCGGCAGCAGGGGAGGTGAGTGCGGGTCCGAGGAGGCTGACAGCGTCACTGAGTGGGCGACTGGGGGAGGTGCTTCTGGCTGTGGAGCAGCAGGCTCAACGCTTCTCCTGCTCCGCCGACACTTTGGGATTCAGCCCTGGGGGTGTGGGCGCCCTTGATGGCCTGCTGCCCTCCCCGCCAGAAAAAGCTGCAGGTGCTTTAGCTAATGTAGGTGATCTTACAGGTGGGACAGATTCTGCAGCAGCAGGGACGGGCCCTGTAGCAGCAGGCGCAGGGGCTGTAGCAGCAGCATCACATGATAAGTCAAGCAGGTCTCCTCGGGCAAAGGAGATGGGGGGTAGTGTGGTTGCCTTGCGGCCTCCAAAGTCTCCCCAGGGGGTGAAAGTTTTGCAAGACGGTGTAGAGGTGAAAGGATCGCCAGGGGATGGGGAGATGGAAGCAGGTGGAATAGTGGGAAGAGCAGAGGGAAAAACTGAGACTGATGGTGTGGTGGAAGAGAGGGTGGGGGAGAAAGGGTGGCAGAAAAAGGGGTACGATGGTGTGAAGGGTATTTCGGTGGCTGCTGCCGCAGCAACCTCTGCGTTTGCTCCAGCGGAAGCAAAAACAGTAGTAACAGCAGGAGCAGGTGAAGGAACGGCAGCGGTGATAGCAGTGGCATCAACACTGGTAGAGGTGCAGCGAGTAGGCGAGCAGGGCAGGCGGGAAGAGGGCAGCAGCAGCAGCAGTAGGGGAGCTTGGGACGACTGGCACGAGCGGGTGGTGGTGGGGGACCGGGGTGAGGGGGAGCATGAGAGTGGGCACGAGAGGGGTACAGTGGGGTTGGGGTATGTCCTACCATGCAAGTCAGACCCAGAATTTGGGTTAGGGGTAGGGTTAAGAGCGGTGGTGAGGGAGAGCGGAGTGGGGAAGTTGGCAGAGGGTGTGCAAGAGGATGTGAGAGGAGATGCGTCTTTGGAAAGAGGAGCTGTGGTGATGGGGCATGATGTCTCTGTTGGAAAAACACCTGAGGTGGCACCTGAAAAGACACCTGAAGTGGCACCTGAAATGGCACCTGAGGTGACACCTGATGGAGTTCGTGAGGGTGGATCGCTTTCATGTCCTCCGGAGGGGATTCTTCACCTGCCGCTGGTTCGGATGAGTCGAGGCAGTGATCTTAGTACCCCGTTTCATGCTCTTGTTCCCCTTGGTGATGCTCCCTTCGCTGCCGTACTGCCTAGTCATGTTGATGCTGCTGCAGCGAGCAGTATTGGTGGCATTGGCGGCACCTGGGGTGGTGTTGCTGCTGGAGAAGCGGCAGCAGAGGGGCATGGGCAGCAAGGGCAGGTGAAGGAAGGAGAGGTGCAGGGGCAGATGAAGGAAGTGCAAGGGAAAGAAGTGCAGATGCAGCAAGGACAGGTGGAGAAAGAGACAATGGGTGGTGAGATTGGGAGCAAGGCACTGTTGCAAGCAGTGGGTAGGGACGGGGGAAAGGAGGTGGTAGTAGTCACAGGAGTGGTGGAGGGGACACGGGAAGGGGAGGGTGAGAGGAGAGTGGATGACAGAGAGAAGGAGGAAGCAAAGGGAGTGAGAGAGGGAGAGAAGGGAGAAGGGTTGGGAGAGAAGGGAGTGAGAGCAGGAGAGGCATGGGAAGCGGGAGAGGCGAGTGGTGGGGTTGATGCGAGCATGCAATCGGCAGTTGAAACGGCTGCAGACAAGGCTAATCGAAGCCATGAGTGGGAGAAGCAGCTGCAGCAGCCGCATCAGCAGCTGCAACAGCAGCAGACTGCAGGAGCAGTGGTGGCGGGCGGAGTAGTGGGAGCACGAGGAGCAGCAGGAGGAGCGGCGAGTGCAGGCGTGGATGAGAGTGTGTTGTTGGAGATTGTTAAAGAGAGGCTCAAGCTCGAGAGGACTAGTTCTGGTAAGCTGCTGCCCTACAGGTACGGCTTCTGGGGGCGGTCTGATAGTGTTGGGCGGCAGGATAGCGTCCTGCGTCAGAATAGTGTCGGGCGGCAGGATAGCATTGGGCGGCAGGATAGCATTGGGCGGCAGGGTAGCATTGGGCGGCAGGATAGCATTGGGCGGCAGGATAGCATTGGGCGGCAGGGTAGCATTGGGCGGCAGGATAGCATTGGGCGGCAGGGTGTTGGGCGGCAGGACAGTGTTGGGCGGCAGGACAGTGTTGGGCGGCAGGAGGATTGGAAAGCCATAGTGGAGGAGTTGAAGGGAGGGGGCGATGGGACTGGTCTGAAGGGCCGGCATGAGGAAGATGACATGTATGGGGGAGAAGGAGAAGGCACACACGGCATGGGAACGGATGTAGGAGGCATGGGAATAGCATCAGGATCTGGGATGGGAGAAGGCATAGGAATGCAGGGAGAGGCGGGAGCTGGGGCAAGGGTGGGGGATGGAGCAGGGGCAGCGGCAGGGGTGGGGGTTGGAGCAGGGGCAGCGGCAGGGGTGGGGGTTGGAGCAGGGGCAGCGGCAGGGGTGGGGGTTGGAGCAGGGGCAGCGGCAGGGGTGGGCGCGGGGGCAGAGAGGGGACGGGTGAGCAGAGGCACATCTGCGAAGGAGAATCGTGAGGAGGAGGAAGCAGTGGTGATGTGCCGGATATGTGAGGAGGAGGTGCCCCTGCGGGACCTGCAGGAGCACTCGTGTCTCTGTGCCCTGGCGAATCGGTGCGATGACACGCGGTTACCGCTGGATGAGCGGTTACATAGGCTCGGAGCTGGGTTGGATGCGGTGGTGGCTGAGCTGACTGTGAGATTGGAAGCTGCTTTTGCATCTGATGCTGCTGCTGCTGCTGCGGCTAATGCCGCTGCTGATGCTAATGCCGCTGCCGCTGCTGATGCCGCTGCTGCTGCTGATGCTGCTGCTGCTGCTGCTGCTGCTCCTCTTGCTGCTCCTGGTGATGTTGGTGATGCCGCTGCAACTGGTGATGGTGATGCTCCTACTTTGGATTCTCATCCCCACGGCATGAATCCAGCTCAAAGGGACTGGAACTTTGCTGCTCAAGTGGAGCACACAGAGAAGGAGGAGAAGGAGGAGAAGGAGGAAAAAGCACCTGGATCTAGCAAGATGAGCCTTGGGACGCCGCAAGCCTCCCTTGTTTCTCATGAGACGCCAGAGTTGCTAGAGGAGCAGCCTGAGAGGGCATTGCGGGAGGAGCCTGAGAGGCAGGAGCCGCATCTTGCACAACAGCAGGAGCAGCAGCAACTGCATATGGACCAGCAGCAGATGTCAGAGCCGGAAAGGCAGCAACGAGCCGGAAAGGCAGCAACTTCATCTGCACATCCGCCACCACCGCCGCCGCTGCAATCAGCATCGCCACTGCATATAAACCAACAGCAGCAGCAGCAGCAGCAGGAGCAGAAACAACCATCACAGCAGCAAAATCATTCACCACAGAAGCAGCAGAAGCAGCAGCCGAAGCAGTCTCCCCTGTCATTGCGCACGTCCCAGGCGCACGGCAGCCCCTGGAAGCTGGACCTCGTTCCCCTTATGAAGCGAGCCAGTCTCTCCCTCTCCGCCTCCTCCTCCCCCAACCTCTCCTCCGCCACCCGAACCGCCCTCTCCAACTCCTCCTCCCCAGCCCTCTCCCCTGCTGCCAAGCGAACAGGGCTATCCAACCCTTCCTCTCCTAGCCTTTCGTCTGTTGCGAAGCGATTGGGTGGTCTTGCCAGTGCGTCCTTTCCCAGTCTGTCCCCTGCTGCCAAGCAAAGTGCTCTCTCCGACTCCCCTCCAGCTCTCCCCCCTGCCAAGCACGCTGCCATTTCAGATGCCTCCTCCTCAGCAGCTGGGTCAGCTGATTCGGCTCAGGTGCCAGATTGCGCAGCAGAAGCGGCAGCAGCAGCAGCAGGAGCAGCAGGAGCAGCAGGAGCAGCAGCAGCAGCAGCAGCAGCAACACCAGCAGCAGCCTTGGCCACTGCAAGATCATTGCCTGCCTCAGCTTCTCACAGTCAAACTTTACAATCAAACAGCGCACAATCACACACCTTAATATCACAGAACCCGCAGTCACAGAGCCTTCCGGGAGCCCAGTCAACGTCAGTCAACGCCAGTCAACGCGTGTGGGGCAGCATGAGCAGCACAGGAGGGGGGCAGGGCAGTAGGGTGCCTGCAGGGGAGTCTCTAATGAGGAGAGGAGGCAGTGTGGGGGGGGAGATGGAAATGCTGGGAGCCGGTGCGGCAGTCGAGGAGATTGATGAAGAAATCAACGTGGTGAGTTGGTGCCTTGGGAAGGCAGTGGTGGTGCTTTTGAGAAATCCCTCAGTGGCAGCTCCTCCCTGTGCTTCTTCTCTCCGCCTTAATCTCTTCCCCACCTCCCACCCACCAACTCCCTCCCCCCAGCTGAACGACCTGGCGGACATAGCGGAGGATGTGGGGGAGGTGCAGGTGGGGCAGGCGGACACTGAGTGCTTCATTGTTGCCCTCTGTGTTCCCTCCTTTGCTCACTCTGTGCTTACCCTACCTCCTCTTCTCCCCATCCTTCCCCCCAGCTGAACGACCTAGCAGACATAGTGGAGGATGTGGGGGAGGTGCAGGTGGGGCAGGCGGGCACTGAGTGGTGCAGTGTTGGCCTTTTGGTTCCTCTCTAGTCTGTGCTTACAAGTTACACTTCCTCCACTTCCCTCCCACCCCCCAGCTGAACGACCTAGCAGACATAGCAGAAGATGTGGGGGAGGTGCAGGTGGGGCAGGCGGACACTGAGTGGTGCAGTGTTGGCCTTTTGGTTCCTCTCTAGTCTGTGCTTACAAGTTACACTTCCTCCACTTCCCTCCCACCCCCCAGCTGAACGACCTAGCAGACATAGCGGAGGATGTGGGGGAGGTGCAGGTGGGGCAGGCGGACACTGAGTGGTGCAGTGTTGGCCTTTTGGTTCCTCTCTAGTCTGTGCTTACAAGTTACACTTCCTCCACTTCCCTCCCACCCCCCAGCTGAACGACCTAGCAGACATAGCAGAAGATGTGGGGGAGGTGCAGGTGGGGCAGGCGGACACTGAGTGGTGCAGTGTTGGCCTTTTGGTTCCTCTCTAGTCTGTGCTTACAAGTTACACTTCCTCCACTTCCCTCCCACCCCCCAGCTGAACGACCTAGCAGACATAGCGGAGGATGTGGGGGAGGTGCAGGTGGGGCAGGCGGACACTGAGTGGTGCAGTGTTGGCCTTTTGGTTCCTCTCTAGTCTGTGCTTACAAGTTACACTTCCTCCACTTCCCTCCCACCCCCCAGCTGAACGACCTAGCAGACATAGCGGAGGATGTGGGGGAGGTGCAGGTGGGGCAGGCGGACGCCCTCGCTCTCCTCTCCACAGACATCCGCGACCTCTCTGCTCTGCTGCGCTCTCCCACTGCTGCCACACTGCTTGTTTGCCCTCCTCTTCCCGCCTCCCCCCCACCTTCCCTCCCCTTCTCCCTCCCCCTCCCAGCTCAATGATTTGGCAGACATAGCAGAAGACGTGGGGGAGGTGCAGGTGGGGCAGGCGGACGCCCTCGCTCTCCTCTCCACAGACATCCGCGACCTCTCCGCCCTGCTGCGCTCACACGCTGCGCACTTCCCCTGCGTGCAGATCTTCGGGCTGCGCATTGCGATTTTGTTGCAGTAAGACACACCGTGTGCTGGCAATATAGTGTGTGCATGGTTGTGCCTCTGTGAGTTGACTCTTCAAACAACTAAAAAGTCAACACACCGTGTGCAGGTAGTATGGTATGTGTGCATGCTTGTGCCTTGCTCTGTGCCCTCGCTCTCCTCTCCACAGACATCCGCGACCTCTCTGCTCTGCTGCGCTCGCACGCCGCGCGCTTCCCCTGCGTGCAAATTTTTGGGCTGCGCATCGCCATCCTGTTGCAGTAAGCATGAGACGAATCATGAATGTATGGTATGTGTGTGGTAGGTCTAGTTCTGTCTGTGCTTGCTTCCCCTGCGTGCAGATCTTCGGGCTACGTATCGCATCGCCATCCTGCTGCAGTAAGGATGGCCTGGTGTATTGTGTGAAAGGATAGGAGTCTTTTTGCGAATTCTTGAAACCCATCCTGTTGCAGTAAGAATACAATGGGCGTCAGGTTTGGCAGTGTGTCTGTATGTACGGATGCGTTAACCCCTCGCCCCTCTCCCTCTCGTCTCCCTGCTTCCCCTCTCCCCTCCAGAGAGAAGTACCAACGCGTGTTGCAGCTTAGGTCCTTTCTTGGCGGGCCAGAAGCAACAGCTGCCTCCCCCAGCAACAACCCCAACGCCCCCCTCTCCATTTTTTCCCCCTGTCCCTCTTGTCCCTCCCCTCCCCATCTCCCTTTTCGTAGGGAGAAGTACCAACGAGTGCTGCAGCTTAGATCATTTCACAGCGGACCCGAAGCAGCAACCGCCTCCCCCAGCAGCAACCCCAGCGCCACTAGGGGAGCTTTGGCTCTGCCCCACTCATTGGGGAGCATTGGCAGCGTTGGGAGCAGGGGCGGCGGGGGTGGGGGCGGAGGGGCGATGGGGGAGAAGGAGCAGCGCACGACGATTGATGACTTTGAGATCATTAAACCGATCAGCAAGGGCGCGTATGGACGCGTGTTTCTCGCGCAGAAGAGAACGACAGGCGACCTGTTCGCTATCAAGGTATGGGCATCTGTAAGTCTTCAATGAGCGTGGGCGTGTATGGACGTGTGTTCTTGTAGAGAGGAACTTCCTTGCTTCTACCCTGCCAGGAGCCAAATTGTGGTGCGCTGCTTCTGCTCCTTCACGCATGCATCTCTCTCTCCTTCTCCCCTTCCTCCCCATCCGTTCCCCCTGTCTAGGTTCTCCGTAAAGCTGATATGATCCGCAAGAACGCAGTGGAGAGCGTACAGGCAGAGCGCAACATCCTGGCGTCTGCCAGGAGTCCCTTTGTGGTGCGCTGCTTCTACTCCTTCACGTGTCGGGAGAACCTCTACATGGTGATGGAGTACCTGGATGGGGGCGACCTCTTTTCATTACTGCGCGCTTGCGAGGCCCTGGAAGAATCTACCGCCTGTTTCTACACTGCTGAGCTGGTGAGTGCATACATACTACCGACTGGCGTTGACCTGCTTCTACTCCTTCATGTGTCGGGAGAACCTCTACATGGTCATGAGAGTATCTCGATGGGGGCGACCTCTTCTCTCTGCTGCGCGCCTGCGAGGCTCTGGAGGAGGCTAATGGGTGCTTCTATGTTGCTGAGCTGGTGCGTGCACACTTGGATGGATTGGGGTTGACTGGGGTGGATTGGGGTTGCCTGGGGTTGACTGGGATTGACTGGGGTTGACTGGGGTTGACTGGGTTTGACTGGCGTTGTCTGGCATTGTCTGGCGTTCGCGATGACTGATGTTGACTGTTGCTTTCCGCCTCCTCCTTATCCCTTTCCACAGGTGCAAGCACTGGAGTATCTGCACTCGCTGGGGGTGGTGCTTCGGGACATCAAGCCAGACAACTTGATCATCACACATGATACAGGGTTGCTTTTGAGACCTTTCGAAACCCTAAACCCCATCCTCCCCCTCCCCACAGGTGCAAGCATTGGAGTATCTGCACTCGCTGGGGGTGGTGTATTGCCTTCCAACCCTCCACCTCCCTCTCCACCCCATCCAATCCCTCTCCTATCGTACTGCCTTCAGGTGCAAGCGTTGGAGTATCTGCACTCGCTGGGAGTGGTGCATCGGGACATAAAACCAGACAACCTGCTCATCGCACACGATGGGCACATCAAGGTGAGACGGGTAACATGGGATGCTCATGCTGTCGGTCTAGTCGTGACTGTTTAGACGTTGGAGTATCTGCACTCGCTGGGGGTGGTTCATCGGGACATAAAACCAGACAACCTGCTCATCGCACACGATGGGCACATCAAGGTGAGACGGGTAACATGGGATGCTCATGCTGTCGGTCTAGTCGTGACTGTTTAGATGTTGGAGTATCTGCACTCGCTGGGGGTGGTTCATCGGGACATCAAGCCAGACAACCTGCTCATCGCACACGATGAGCACATCAAGGTGAGACGGGTAACATGGGATGCTCATGCTGTCGGTCTAGTCGTGACTGTTTAGACGTTGGAGTATCTGCACTCGCTGGGGGTGGTTCATCGGGACATCAAGCCAGACAACCTGCTCATCGCACACGATGAGCACATCAAGGTGAGACGGGTAACATGGGATGCTCATGCTGTCGGTCTAGTCGTGACTGTTTAGACGTTGGAGTATCTGCACTCGCTGGGGGTGGTTCATCGGGACATCAAGCCAGACAACCTGCTCATCGCACACGATGAGCACATCAAGGTGAGACGGGTAACATGGGATGCTCATGCTGTCGGTCTAGTCGTGACTGTTTAGACGTTGGAGTATCTGCACTCGCTGGGGGTGGTTCATCGGGACATCAAGCCAGACAACCTGCTCATCGCACACGATGAGCACATCAAGGTGAGACGGGTAACATGGGATGCTCATGCTGTCGGTCTAGTCGTGACTGTTTAGACGTTGGAGTATCTGCACTCGCTGGGGGTGGTTCATCGGGACATCAAGCCAGACAACCTGCTCATCGCACACGATGAGCACATCAAGGTGAGACGGGTAACATGGGATGCTCATGCTGTCGGTCTAGTCGTGACTGTTTAGACGTTGGAGTATCTGCACTCGCTGGGGGTGGTTCATCGGGACATCAAGCCAGACAACCTGCTCATCGCACACGATGAGCACATCAAGGTGAGACGGGTAACATGGGATGCTCATGCTGTCGGTCTAGTCGTGACTGTTTAGACGTTGGAGTATCTGCACTCGCTGGGGGTGGTTCATCGGGACATCAAGCCAGACAACCTACTCATCGCACACGATGAGCACATCAAGGTGAGACGGGTAACATGGGATGCTCATGCTGTCGGTCTAGTCGTGACTGTTTAGACGTTGGAGTATCTGCACTCGCTGGGGGTGGTTCATCAGGACATCAAGCCAGACAACCTGCTCATCGCACACGATGAGCACATCAAGGTGAGACGGGTAACATGGGATGCTCATGCTGTCGGTCTAGTCGTGACTGTTTAGACGTTGGAGTATCTGCACTCGCTGGGGGTGGTTCATCGGGACATCAAGCCAGACAACCTGCTCATCGCACACGATGAGCACATCAAGGTGAGACGGGTAACATGGGATGCTCATGCTGTCGGTCTAGTCGTGACTGTTTAGACGTTGGAGTATCTGCACTCGCTGGGGGTGGTTCATCGGGACATCAAGCCAGACAACCTGCTCATCGCACACGATGAGCACATCAAGGTGAGACGGGTAACATGGGATGCTCATGCTGTCGGTCTAGTCGTGACTGTTTAGACGTTGGAGTATCTGCACTCGCTGGGGGTGGTTCATCGGGACATCAAGCCAGACAACCTGCTCATCGCACACGATGAGCACATCAAGGTGAGACGGGTAACATGGGATGCTCATGCTGTCGGTCTAGTCGTGACTGTTTAGACGTTGGAGTATCTGCACTCGCTGGGGGTGGTTCATCGGGACATCAAGCCAGACAACCTACTCATCGCACACGATGAGCACATCAAGGTGAGACGGGTAACATGGGATGCTCATGCTGTCGGTCTAGTCGTGACTGTTTAGACGTTGGAGTATCTGCACTCGCTGGGGGTGGTTCATCAGGACATCAAGCCAGACAACCTGCTCATCGCACACGATGAGCACATCAAGGTGAGACGGGTAACATGGGATGCTCATGCTGTCGGTCTAGTCGTGACTGTTTAGACGTTGGAGTATCTGCACTCGCTGGGGGTGGTTCATCGGGACATCAAGCCAGACAACCTGCTCATCGCACACGATGAGCACATCAAGGTGAGACGGGTAACATGGGATGCTCATGCTGTCGGTCTAGTCGTGACTGTTTAGACGTTGGAGTATCTGCACTCGCTGGGGGTGGTTCATCGGGACATCAAGCCAGACAACCTGCTCATCGCACACGATGAGCACATCAAGGTGAGACGGGTAACATGGGATGCTCATGCTGTCGGTCTAGTCGTGACTGTTTAGACGTTGGAGTATCTGCACTCGCTGGGGGTGGTTCATCGGGACATCAAGCCAGACAACCTGCTCATCGCACACGATGAGCACATCAAGGTGAGACGGGTAACATGGGATGCTCATGCTGTCGGTCTAGTCGTGACTGTTTAGACGTTGGAGTATCTGCACTCGCTGGGGGTGGTTCATCGGGACATCAAGCCAGACAACCTGCTCATCGCACACGATGAGCACATCAAGGTGAGACGGGTAACATGGGATGCTCATGCTGTCGGTCTAGTCGTGACTGTTTAGACGTTGGAGTATCTGCACTCGCTGGGGGTGGTTCATCGGGACATCAAGCCAGACAACCTGCTCATCGCACACGATGAGCACATCAAGGTGAGACGGGTAACATGGGATGCTCATGCTGTCGGTCTAGTCGTGACTGTTTAGACGTTGGAGTATCTGCACTCGCTGGGGGTGGTTCATCGGGACATCAAGCCAGACAACCTGCTCATCGCACACGATGAGCACATCAAGGTGAGACGGGTAACATGGGATGCTCATGCTGTCGGTCTAGTCGTGACTGTTTAGACGTTGGAGTATCTGCACTCGCTGGGGGTGGTTCATCGGGACATCAAGCCAGACAACCTACTCATCGCACACGATGAGCACATCAAGGTGAGACGGGTAACATGGGATGCTCATGCTGTCGGTCTAGTCGTGACTGTTTAGACGTTGGAGTATCTGCACTCGCTGGGGGTGGTTCATCAGGACATCAAGCCAGACAACCTGCTCATCGCACACGATGAGCACATCAAGGTGAGACGGGTAACATGGGATGCTCATGCTGTCGGTCTAGTCGTGACTGTTTAGACGTTGGAGTATCTGCACTCGCTGGGGGTGGTTCATCGGGACATCAAGCCAGACAACCTGCTCATCGCACACGATGAGCACATCAAGGTGAGACGGGTAACATGGGATGCTCATGCTGTCGGTCTAGTCGTGACTGTTTAGACGTTGGAGTATCTGCACTCGCTGGGGGTGGTTCATCGGGACATCAAGCCAGACAACCTGCTCATCGCACACGATGAGCACATCAAGGTGAGACGGGTAACATGGGATGCTCATGCTGTCGGTCTAGTCGTGACTGTTTAGACGTTGGAGTATCTGCACTCGCTGGGGGTGGTTCATCGGGACATCAAGCCAGACAACCTGCTCATCGCACACGATGAGCACATCAAGGTGAGACGGGTAACATGGGATGCTCATGCTGTCGGTCTAGTCGTGACTGTTTAGACGTTGGAGTATCTGCACTTGCTGGGGGTGGTTCATCGGGACATCAAGCCAGACAACCTGCTCATCGCACACGATGAGCACATCAAGGTGAGACGGGTAACATGGGATGCTCATGCTGTCGGTCTAGTCGTGACTGTTTAGACGTTGGAGTATCTGCACTCGCTGGGGGTGGTTCATCGGGACATCAAGCCAGACAACCTACTCATTGCACACGATGAGCACATCAAGGTGAGACGGGTAACATGGGATGCTCATGCTGTCGGTCTAGTCGTGACTGTTTAGACGTTGGAGTATCTGCACTCGCTGGGGGTGGTTCATCAGGACATCAAGCCAGACAACCTGCTCATCGCACACGATGAGCACATCAAGGTGAGACGGGTAACATGGGATGCTCATGCTGTCGGTCTAGTCGTGACTGTTTAGACGTTGGAGTATCTGCACTCGCTGGGGGTGGTTCATCGGGACATCAAGCCAGACAACCTGCTCATCGCACACGATGAGCACATCAAGGTGAGACGGGTAACATGGGATGCTCATGCTGTCGGTCTAGTCGTGACTGTTTAGACGTTGGAGTATCTGCACTCGCTGGGGGTGGTTCATCGGGACATCAAGCCAGACAACCTGCTCATCGCACACGATGAGCACATCAAGGTGAGACGGGTAACATGGGATGCTCATGCTGTCGGTCTAGTCGTGACTGTTTAGACGTTGGAGTATCTGCACTCGCTGGGGGTGGTTCATCGGGACATCAAGCCAGACAACCTGCTCATCGCACACGATGAGCACATCAAGGTGAGACGGGTAACATGGGATGCTCATGCTGTCGGTCTAGTCGTGACTGTTTAGACGTTGGAGTATCTGCACTCGCTGGGGGTGGTTCATCGGGACATCAGCCAGACAACCTGCTCATCGCACACGACGGGCACATCAAGGTGAGATACTCGTGCTCTCGTTACTCATCTCTCCCATTTCCCCACCACCTCACCTTTGCCAATGGTCTTTCCAAGGTGGGCCTCGCCATTCGTGGCCTTAGTGCATCATCTCCCATCACCACTCATCACCCGTCATTACCCCTCACCACCCCGCGCCAACCCCTCAGCTGACGGACTTTGGGTTGTCCAGGGTGGGCCTTATCAACAGTGCCGGAGACCTCTCCACCAATCAGCAGCAGCCCATCCCCTCCCACCACGCCTCCGCGCCTTCCTCCCCTGGTAAGCAGCACCTATACAGGTGAAACACCTCCCCTCACCACCCCGCGTCCCTGCTTGCCGCACTGATTCAACCCCCTCCATCTCCTTACTCCGTTCTTTCTTCCTAATCTGACTTGTCTTCCCACACTCAGGCAAACTCTTCCCCCACTCATACAGCGTCGGCTCCGAAGGTGCAGCAGCAGACTCACCGCTCTGGACCGCATCCAGCCTGCAGGAATTCCCCTCGCCCCGCTCTGGACCCCCTCCACCCTCTCCGGTCCCCACTCCAACCCTGCCTCTGGCTATTCCTCCCCCCTGCATGCCCCCGGGTATGCCTCCCCCTTGCACGCGTCTGGTTGCTCGTCCCCTCTGCATCCTTCTGGATTGGGGGGCGGAGGAGGGGGCGGAGGAGGAGGAGGAGGAGGAGGAGGAGGAGGAGGAGGAGGAGGAGGAGGAGGAGGAGGAGGAGGAGGAGGAGGAGGAGGAGGAGGAGGAGGAGGAGGAGGAGGAGGAGGAGGAGGAGGAGGAGGGGGGTTTTGTTTTGTTCCTCACCTTCCCATTTTGCAGGGGGAGGGGGTGGAGGAGGAGGAGGAGGAGGAGGAGGAAGCGGAGGGGGAGGTGGAGGGGGAGGTGGAGGGGGAGGGGGAGGGGGAGGGGGACTAGGAGGAGGGGGAGGGGTAGGAGGAGGGGGAGGGGGAGGGGGAGGGGGAGGGGGAGGGGGAGGGGGGATGCACTGTTCGTCTCCGTCTCAGATCATCACACAGCGGTGGCAGCAGCAGGCTCAGCACGCCTCCCTGCTCAGACGCCTGGCAGGGGCGGGCGAGGGGAATGGGGGGAGTGGTAGCACTGGCAGTGGTAATGGCAGCGGCACTGCGTGGGGGAACGGCAACGGGAATGGCAACACTGAGAGTAAGGGAGGGGGAGATTGTGTGGAAAACCAAGGGGCAAGCAAGGAGGATCATGGGGAGGAGAATGTGGAGGGGTATGGGGAGGATTATGGGGACGGCAGTGGGAAGGAGAATGCTAACAGTGAAGCCACCTGTGCTGCTACTGCCGCTGTTGCTGCTGCCGTGTCAAATGCTGCAAATCCATCTTCTGCTACTGGTGCTGGAGCGGGGGAGAGCAGGGGAGCAGGAGCGGAGGGGGGAGGAAGGGTGGCAGTGGAGGCAGTAGGAACGCCAGACTACTTGGCTCCAGAGATTCTGCTCGGCCTACCACACGGTGCGTGGTTTTGTGAGGTGGAATGCGGTACTGGGTGATGTGGCCTGGTGTGATGGGTATGACATGTGGAATGGGGGGAGACTACTTGGCTCCAGTGATTCTGCTCCCACACGGTGCGGGGTTTTGTGAGGTGGAGCGCTCGGCCTGCCCTGTCAGAAACCCCCCCAGGCCCAGCTGCGGACTGGTGGTGACTTTTGAGTCGACTCAAAAGTCACCTCGGTGGAGCGCTCAGCCTGCCCTGTCGAACCCCCCCAGGCCCAGCTGCCGACTGGTGGTCGGTGGGAGTGCTGCTATACGAGCTGCTTGTGGGAATTCAGCCCTGTTTAGGGGGAAAACTTTCTGTACCCACTCCATTCCATTCGCCCTTGGTTGCCCCTCTCTCTGTACTCATCTCTCTGCATTCCCAGGTCCAGCAGCGGACTGGTGGTCGGTGGGAGTGCTGCTGTACGAGCTGCTTGTGGGGATTCCGCCCTTCAACGCCCCCACTCCTCAGGTACCTCTGTCCCCCCCCTGTGCCAATGCACAGTCGCGTCGCCGGTACATCTTTCCTCCCCTGTGCATGCACACTGTTGATATCTGTAGCACAATGCCCTCCCCCTCCCAATCGACCCCTCTCCCACTGCTACCCACCCCAACCCCTTGTGCCGTTGCTCTCATATCAATCTAATTCTTGCTGTATCCCCCTTACAAGTTATGACAACGAATCGTCCCTCCTCCTCCTCTTCCCACCGCCATCCCTGCTTATCCCCTGCTATGCCCCCTGTGCTTGTCCCCCTTATAAGCAAATCTTTGACAACATATTGAACCGCGACATTACATGGCCAGCCGTGCCTGAAGACATGTCGTATGAAGCCAAAGACCTGATTGACAGGTAAGCGCATGCCTGTGAAAGCAATGTCAGGCTCTGATACACTCTTTTCTCCCTTTGATTGGCCGGAAAATGGGCGGAAAAGGGGGGTGGGGGAGGAATCAGGAGAAGAAAACAACGCATCTCTCTCCACTGCACTTATCTTTTCTTATAATCCTGGTTGTTTCCCTGCTGCTCTCCCCTGTTGTCTGCAGGCTCCTCACATTCGACCCGGATGAGCGACTTGGGGCCCAGGGAGCAGACGAGGTCAGCCACCCCTTGCCACCCGTTCCCACCCCTTGCCACCCCTTGCCACCCGTTCCCACCCCTTGCCACCCCTTGCCACCCCTTGCCACCTCTTCGCTGCATTGCTTTCCATTCATCTACTCTGCTGCAAATAAATTAGTCCATTGTTTCCCTTTCATTCTTGGTGCTTCATTTCGCCTTTGTGCCGTGTGTGCTGTGCTCCTCCCACCCGCCCCTCTCCCATGTCCTGCAGATCAAGAGGCATCCCTTCTTTCGCAACATCGACTGGGACACCCTCTCCTATGAAAAGGTGCGTTTCTGCTATGGTGTCGCAACAACAACTGGTCTAGTGCCCATTTTCTGAATCCGCACCTCTCCGTCCCTGTCAGCCCTCATTCATTCTCGAGCCGGAGAACGCAATTCGCCCCAATTTGCCCAATTTGCCCCCACTACCCTCCCCATCAGCCCCCATTCATTCCTGAGCCGGAGAACGCACATGACACGAGCTACTTTGCATGCCGCTACGGGCCGAATGCGCTGGAAGGAGGGGAGGGAGTGGGGGGCATGGGGTGTGCGGATGGGCGCAGCAGCAACTACAGCAGCGGTGGCGGCAGCACCAGTGACTCTGAGGATTTGGAGATGGAAAGGGTGAGCTGGGGGTGTGTTGGTAGGGGTGTAGGATGTAGGGTGGGATAAAGAGGGTGGAATCGAGGAATGTAAGTTGAGGTGCAGCAGCAGCGGCGGCTGCACGAGTGACTCAGAGGATCTGGAGATGGAAAGGGTGAGCTTGGGGGAAGGGGGGGGTTGCTCAGAACAAAGGCATCCGATTGTCTTCTGAGTCAAAAGATGGGCATGTGGGGGGATGGGTCGGGCCTCAAGACCCAATCCATGACTCGAAAGGCACCAAGTCATCAGCTTAAATGAACTCCATGACCTACTCCCACTCCGTGCGTTTGCTTCACCTCCCTTGCCTCCCAGTGCTCGCCTCTCCTCCTCTCCCACCCACCTCTCCCCTCTCACTTTCCTGCTTCTTCCCCCTTCTCCCCGCCGCCCTCCTTCCTCCCTTCTCTCCTCTCTCAACCCCCACACCCTCCTTGCCCTCCCCTCATGTCTCTCACCCATCAGCACGACGAAGCGGGTGACATGCCAGCGTTCCAGTCCACTGCAGTTGACTTCTCAGGTTTCTCCTTCAAGGTATGCTGCCTGGCTTCGCTGTATGGGTAGGATGGATATGTACCAGCAGTATGTATTTGCCAATAGGCCAATATGCTACTAACAAAAACCTTGAATGCACTCAGGTGGAGAGCATGTGCTCATGCTGAAAGCTAACCATCCCCCACAAGACACCCATAAAAGCACAGTGTTGCAACACACTCCGCTCTTATGTATATGAAGTTGCCTCCCTGTTCTTTTTTTCCTTACACCTTAGACAAAATGCCATCTCTCTTCTCCGATTTCCCTTTCCAGATGGCTTCCTCCTGGAAATGAGTTGCCAAGAAAACTAACCACCATTCCCCACAACAAACCCTGTCCTGGTCCCCCCCTGTCCACTCCTACCTGTTTTCCCCTTTCCCTCCCCCCCTTGTCCATTCATGCATTTCAGAACCTCTCCCAGCTGGCCTTCATCAACACGGAGATTCTCGAAAGGCGGCAGAGCCCACCCAGTGGGCCTTTTGAGGCGCCTCTAAATCCTTTTCTCCCTCCCCCCCTTGTCCATTCATGCATTCCAGAACCTCTCCCAACTAGCTTTCATCAACACTGAAATTCTTGAAAGGCGGCAGAGCCCACCCAATGGGCCAGCAGCAACCGAGTCTCCGTGATGTGTAAATATGGTATTAGAAATCAATTTAGACTCCCATTCTTTCTATTGCGCTGCAATAGAGTCTGGCACTCCCACAGTTTCAGCTGCTCCATATGAGCAACTGTGCCTACCGGAAACTTTTTAGAAATGCCCCTCTTTTCTTCATGGCTTAGGTCTTAAGGATCATGTATTAGTGGCGCTTCTCTTTTGTGAAGTATATATTAAATGTCCCTGCGGGTTTAGTGACACCAGTGATTCTGCTGAGGAAGATGATTGTTATGTAAACAGTTGACTTCATATACTAAGTATAGCACACACAATGTATTGTACAAATATCTAGGGAGTAATGCCAAACCAAGCCTCTCTTCACAAGCCTCCCCTTGCAGCTCAAAGCCTTCGCAAACGGTCATGCGACGTCGCCTGACTCCAGGAGGCTTGGCTTGGCATTCCCCTGTGCGACACAATCTAACCCCAGATTAGCGCCCCCGACTCTTCTACACACTATTGGATTGAAATTTCACGCCATAATTGTATCGGCTGCTTCTGATGTCGTAACAGCGGCCAGCTGGCGAGCACCCGCGCTGCTGGCGCGGCACGCGCGCAGGATCCAAGGGTGGGAAAGAATAGCGGCAGCTGAGGGCCGTCTCGCAGCGTCCGACTGAAGCAGGCACCGCACGAGATGCTTCGCCTCTTCCGACACTCCCTCCCACTCCGCGCCGCTCATATCAACCACGCCGCGAAGCACCTCGACAAATACGTCCTTATCCGTGACGCCCCAGAAAGGCGGCACGCCGCTGAGGAGAATGTAGAGAATGACACCGAGCGACCAGACATCGGCTCCTAGAGAGTAATCGCCTGTGAGGACTTCGGGTGCGATGTAAAACGGCGACCCTGCGACTCCTTTCGTGCGCTCGCCTGCCTCAAGCGCGACGCCGAGGCCAAAGTCTGCGACTTTTGTGATCAGGGGTGCGGCGCAGAGCGGTACAGATGGGTCCCGCACGAGCAGGATGTTTTCGGGTTTCAGGTCGCGGTGGAGGACCCCGCGGGCGTGGCAGTGTGCGACGGCTGCTGCGATCTGCGCGAAAACGCTCGCGGCGTCGCGCTCGTGGAATCGCCCACGTCGCACAACTTCGTCGAACAGTTCGCCGCCTTCGCAGAGCTCCATCACGAGGTGCACTGCGACATCGTCTTCGAAAACCGCGCGCAGCTGCACTACCCCCGCGTGCGCGCCGCCCACCGCAACCCGCTGCATCAAACTAATCTCCTTCCGAATCTCGTCACGCTCCGCTTCGCTCTTAAGCCCGTCCTTTAATAGTGTCTTGCAGGCGAAGCGCGAGCCCGTGACGCGCTCCGTGCATCGTCGAACGGTGCCGAACTGGCCGGAACCTAACACGTGAGAATCGAGAACGAAATAATCCTCGAGGCGGCCGGTAGGGAAGGGGAGAACGCAGGAGGACGCTGAGCTGGCGTTTGCGGACTCTGAGTCGACTGAGGAAGGTTCGACGAGGTAGCTGCGCTGTGAGCCTAGAGATTGCGCATTGCGACCGTCGTGCTCGTAGTGGCCAACGGGAGTCTGGAGAGAGAAATGCGCCATTCTGCTGCTAGTAAGAGACGATTCCGTTTGACGTTGGAAAACTTGGAAAATTCGTCTCGTAGAAATGCCGATTGCTGCTGATTTTCGATTAATAGTGAGCGCCGAGGTAGCAGTAGGAAAGATTGAGCGAGAAGGGGCTGATTTTGATGCTGATGAATGGTGTCGGAGGGATGGTCTATTTGTAGTGGGTGGTCGCAACGGTGAGTGGTGAGGAGGGGGAGGCTTGGTGTCGTATACAGCTGCCGTGGTGGGTTTCGCAGACCGTGCGACGGCGTGTAGCTTGGGACTTTCCTCGGCTAGGTGCGTCGCTTTCGTCGCTCACCTCGTCGCAATCACTCCGACGACTCGACGGCACCGACAGATCGGGCTGGCGGTGAATGGGGCTGCGAACACAGACCACATTGGGGACTTCGCTGCGTGCAAGACACTGCTGGTGCGAGGCTTCGCAGAGTCATCGCTTCGGGTCGCACATGCTCCAAAAAGCGCCGCGTGGATATAGACGACTCGGAGTATCTTTGTCGTTTCTTGACTGGCATGACTCTCCGGCATCTCCTCGAAAGCTCCATGAATGTTTCAGAGGGGGGAACTTCTTCGAATCCTCGGAGCTGACTGGCGGAGCGATGGAGTCGCCTGGACGTGGACGCGTTTCAAGCAGGTGTTCTACAGTAAGAATAATAGCGAGTGTCACTGTCTCTCAAGAAATACATCAGCATGCCGAGTTTACACAACATTTCCGCACAAATGAAGATACATGCACAAGCACATCCCGATATTAGCAAAGTACAGACCTCCACGTGAGCCTCGGGTGAAACAAAAGCCCTTCACGATCTGGCCCGACCTGCTTCAGATCAAAATCTGACCGTTCAAATTTGTGATGTTCCGCCGAACTTCTCCTCGGGCGAATCTCTTGTTCTTCGCCGGTTTTGTGGTTCCAGCATTCTTGGGTGCAATCTAGGTCAACGTCGGGAATCGGAATTGCCGAAGCGTCTATTTCTTGGCTGGTGCCATGCCAATGGCGATCATGACTTCGGAACATCAGATTTTGCAATCAGTCGCATGAGTAGTTGCAGCCATTTCGTCTCTAAACCGATTCATCGGCCATCAATTGCCTCTAAGAAAATTACCTAATAATTTCTGGCCAAATAATTTTGCATGGCGGATACTGGGAGTTCAGAAAGCCCAGGCCACATGGCACCGTTACCGGAAGGCGTGACGGAAGCTGGTCAGCAGCTTCTGTCTGACGTGGAGGCCGTGATGGAGCGATGCAAGGCGCTGCAGGAAACAGCGGCCGGGTACAGCCAGCGACTCAAGAGCGAGGGCGACGCTCTCGGCGAGCGTGCGATCGCGCTCGAGAAGGAGCTTCGCACGCTGCGAAAGAGCGTCAACGTCGCAGCGGCGAAGGACGAGGTTTCGCCTGAAGTCGCCGAGCAGGTGACTCGCGAGATTAGTAAGGAAGCAACATATTCTTAGGACAATTGGCGGATCTTGTGTTGCGTAGCGAACTGGTGGAACGGGAAGGAAGATCGGGAGATAATTATCGATTGTGAGGATGATATCTTGATCTTCTCGCGTCACCGCATCCGGTCACCGTCACCCCGTCAATTTCACCGTTACCTTGCGGATCGATGGAGCATGGTGTGTATGAAAGACTATCACTGAACTGTTTCACAAATCAACCCCCACTTCTCTGCACTCCTTGTCGACGCGTGTGAGGCCCGCAGATGGAGGAGGAGGAGGACCTGGTGCGAGCCAGGAGCTTGGTTTACTGAAGAATCTTCTACTTCCCTCCTCCTCCTCCGTGCCCTCCCTCTGCTCCCTGCTCACCCATGGGATAAAACTTTTTCAGATGGAGGAAGACCTGGTGCGAGCCAGGAGCATGATGTGTGTGGTAAGACTTTTTTTAAACCGTTTCACAAGTTCCGCACCCTCCCTCCTCACCCCCTTTTTTCCCACTCCCTGGTCACGCGTGTGAGCCATGCAGATGGAGGAGGACTTAGTTCGAGCCAGGAGCATGGTGTACGAGGGTGATATAGCGGCGCTGCTGCCACACAAGGCCAACGGTAAGGCATTGATCTCCATTCCATTAACATGCACATTGTGCTCGGCCTGGTGCCCATTCTCAATTCAACCCCCATCCTCATGCCCACCCCCATCCCCGTGCCCATCAGACAACCCCATGCCCACCCACAACCCCATGCCCACCCACAACCCCATGCCCACCCCCAACCCCATGCCCACCCCCAACCCCATGCCCACCCACAACCCCATGCCCACCCACAACCCCATGCCCACCCACAACCCCATGCCCACCCCCAACCCCATGCCCACCCCATCCCCATGCCCAACTCCGTCCCCATGCCCACTCCCGTCTTCATGCCCACTCTCGTCTTCATGCCCACTCCCGTCTTCATGCCCACTCCTGTCCCCATGGCCATGCCCATCCCCATCCCCATCTGCATGCTCATGCCATGCCGACTTCCCATGCCCATGCTCATGACCCTCCAGGCTTCTTCCTGTGGCTGTTCCTGGGCCATGTAAACGTGCGCTCGTCTCGCAGGGACGTGAGGTTCAAGGTCAAGGAGGAGTATAACAGCTACCGGGTGAGAGCTTGTTTGTTTCGTTATAAGAGGCCTCACTAAATGTCAAGTAGAAGTGCACGAGCCACAGTGTGAGTGACCACTTCGTCGAGGAGGCCTCACTTCGGCCCTGCTCTCCCCCCGCTCTCCCGCCTCTTTTGCTTTCCCCGCTCTTCTGCTCTGCCCCCTTCTCCCGCTCTCTCCCCTCTCCTGCTCTCCCCCTTGCGTCCTCTACCCCTGCTTTGCACCTGGCAGGACCGCACTGCACTCATCTTCCTGGGTGCGCCACTTCTGCTGCTGGCAGCCAAGCAGGCCATGAACCAGCGGTGCCTGCCGGGCCTAGTGGTGCACGTGTACCAGGTGGGTGCTGGGGAGGGGGCATCTGGGCTAGTTTCTGAGCGAGATGTGTCAAGGGAGTGCTCTCAAGCACTTCTGCTGCTGGCAGCCAAGCAGGCCATGAACCAGCGGTGCCTGCCGGGCCTAGTGGTGCACGTGTACCAGGTGGGGGCACTGGGGGAGGGGGCATCTGGGCTAGTGTCTGAGCGAGATGTGTCAAGGGAGTGCTCTCAAGCACTGCTGCTGGCAGCCAAGCAGGCCATGAACCAGCGCTGCCTGCCGGGCCTCGTGGTGCACGTGTACCAGGTGGGGGGCTGTTGGGGGCACTGGGGAGGGGAGGCAACACTGGGGGGATGTGCCCCTGGGGATGATGGGATTATGAGGGGGACCTGGGGGACAGGGGGACTGGGGGGAGAGGGGCACTGGGGAGCGAGGGCCACTGGGGTTGGGGCACTGAGAGCAGGGCTGCTTCTTTAGTACTCCAGCTTAGCATGAAGCAGACCTGCCTACACCCTCAAACACCCTCCCTACACGACCTTGCCCCCAGCTGCTGCTGGTCTTGAGATTATTGATTAAACCTGCCTCTTGAGATTATTGATTAAACCTGGCTCTTGATATTATTGATTAAACCTGGCTCTTGAGATTATTGATTAAACCTGGCTCTTGAGATTATTGATTTTGCAAGCGCCAGGTTCGCACTGCGCCCTCTTCCCGCTTCCCGTCCTCGTCCCTCTTCTCTCATGTTCCTTCCCTTTCCCCGAGGCGTGGCTGCTGATATTCTACTACACGAACCTGGCGACTTTTGAGTCGACTCAAAAGTCACCCCGAGGCGTGGCTGCTGATATTCCACACGAACCTGGCGACTTTTGAGTCGACTCAAAAGTCACCCCGAGGCGTGGCTGCTGATATTCCACACGAACCTGGCGACTTTTGAGTCGACTCAAAAGTCACCCCGAGGCGTGGCTGCTGATATTCCACGCGAACCTGGCGACTTTTGAGTCGACTCAAAAGTCACCCCGAGGCGTGGCTGCTGATATTCCACGCGAACCTGGCTTTGCAATAAGGCAGTCCGGTGCGCACACTCACTCACTCCCTCCATCTCTCCCATTCTTCCACGTCTCTTTTCTCCCATTGCCCCACACCATCCCCTCCTCTCCTCCCCTTCCCCCCCAGGCGTGGCTGCTGCTGTTCTACACGAGCCGGGCTCTTTGGAGTGGCAGTCCAGTGTGCTCACTCTCACACCTCACTTCTCTCCCATTCCCCCACCCCAACCCTTCCCCCCCAGGCGTGGCTGCTGCTGTTCTACACCAGCTTGGCTCTGCGGGAAAACATCCTTCGCATCAATGGCAGTGACATCCGGCCCTGGTGAGAAGAGGAGGGGAGAGAACAATTGAGTGTTGAAGCGTCTCAAAGCGTCTCAGGGCAGTTTTGCCTAATGCCATAAATGCGGGGAGAGTAGAGGGGAAGAGGAGTGATGAAGGGGAGAGAGTAAGGAAGACCATGCTGAGCAGAAACATGCTCCTAAGGGGGAGAACATCCAGCTCATGGCCCTTGTGAGGCTCGTGAGATAATGAATTGTTTTTGAGACGTATCAAAAACAACGTATTGATACGGGGGGTGTAGATCTACATGAAGACCATTCTGCTCATGCCCATGGCCCTCGTGAGGCCCAAGCTAATGGCCTCGTGAGGCCCAAGCTAATGGCCTCGTGAGGCCCAAGCTAATGGCCTCGTGAGGCCCAAGCTAATGGCCTCGTGAGGCCCAAGCTAATGGCCTCGTGAGGCCCAAGCTAATGGCCTCGTGAGGCCCAAGCTAATGGCCTCGTGAGGCCCAAGCTAATGGCCTCGTGAGGCCCAAGCTAATGGCCTCGTGAGGCCCAAGCTAATGGCCTCGTGAGGCCCAAGCTAATGGCCTCGTGAGGCCCAAGCTAATGGCCTCGTGAGGCCCAAGCTAATGGCCTCGTGAGGCCCAAGCTAATGGCCTCGTGAGGCCCAAGCTAATGGCCTCGTGAGGCCCAAGCTAATGGCCTCGTGAGGCCCAAGCTAATGGCCTCGTGAGGCCCAAGCTAATGGCCTCGTGAGGCCCAAG